GGCAGGCTGAAGACTTTAGGCTCTACCTGTGTACTTTTTTTTTTTTTCCTATTCTCGTTTTCATTCTATGTAAATGCTGTTTTAAGTTGCGCAGTTTGAGCTTTCTAATTGTAAAGAGTCGTCTATGCAATTAAGAGTTTGATAAAGAGTAAAAAAAAATTGAGAAATATGGTATCTTTAATGCAGATTATCATTTTTATAAGAGAGTACCAGCATATATTGAAGATAAATGGTTAAACTTCTCAAAAAAGTAAAAATGCGCCGGGCGCAGTGGCTCACACCTGTAATCCCAGTGCTTTGGGAGGCTGAGGCGGGCGGATCACCTGAGGTCAGGAGTTTGAAACCAGGCTTGACTACCATGGTGAAACTCCATCTCTACTAAAAAATACAAAAATTAGCTGCGCGTCATGGCATCCGCCTGTAATCCCAGCTACTAGGGAGACTGAGGCAGGAGAATCACTTGAACCCGGGAGGCGGAAGTTGCAGTGAGCTGAGATCATGCCATTGCACTCCAGCCTGCGCAACAAGAATGAAACTCCATCTCAAAAAAAAAAAAAAAGTAAAAACATGGCCTTGCTAGTTAGAAAGCAAGAGAGGCAAGGTATGAATAATATAGGTAGACCAGCAGGAAAGGGACAGCAGAGCTGGGGAAAGAATCTTCATATGCAAAGCCTTTCTGTCTTGTTTGAAAGGCCTTTTCGAGTTGGCTAAAATGCATAATCAGGCCAAATAACATAAATCGGCTGGGATCAGGTAAAGTGTAAAGCCATTTGGAGGCTTCCTTTTACTTAAGATCTTGGCAGGGGGTCTAGGACACAGAAAGAGGAAAAAAACTGGATTAGCATTAGCTGGTACTCCGCAAATAAGGAAACAGCAACAGGTGGGAGGTTGATTTTTGTTGTAGGGACATCTCGTCGTGTGATGGGGTATTTTCCTTGATATAAAAAGATGATGCTAATCCAATGAGACCAGGACACATGACCAGAAAGCTTCTGACCATGGGGAAGGACTGGTGTTTGCTTAAAGGTGGTTGTTACTTTTAGAGAGTTCCCTAAACCCAAAATACCATATTAATTAGAGACTGGGCACTTTGAGATGAGTCTGGTGCTGAGTTTTGGTATATTTTCTTTATTTAATCCTTACTGTATTTTTTTTCTTAGAGTAAGTGTATTGCTCCATATTGGTGTTAGAATTATAGTTTGTTTGGTTTTTTTTCCTTTGTTTTTGATGTAACGTGCGTCAGCTTGATGGTGTGCCTTGGTTATACCTGTCTAATCACTTGGTTTGTGACTCATGAATGACTAAGGCCCCGCATCTCCCTGAGGAAGATTGTTAGAATCCTGGCCAGGAATGAAACAGCTCCTGAGTAATGTGAATTACACATTTAATCCTATCACAATAAAGGCAAACTCTTTCTCTGCACGCACTTCTAAGATTGTGATTGTATTTATAAGTGTTACTCTCTGTCTTGTATGGGCATGGGTGATCACTCTTTCTTGGGTACTTTAGCTCTAGTTGTTGCCTTTTATTTGTGGAAACCTCACAAAAGTGTCTTTAAAATTTCCATCTTGAGTCAGTGAGCTATTTAAATTCAAGCAATAAGTTATTTAATACTCTTAAGAAGTCTTTAGAGAAGGTTAGAAAAGGTCCTCAGTGGCTGAATGAACATCAAATGGGGATGACAGTAGGAAAAGTGATTGCTAGTGTTGGAATTGGTGTATTTTGGTTTCTGAATATATGGGGAGATGGTTTAAAACCTTCTTAAAGTAAAGGTGTGAAGTCCATACATTGCAGTTGTCTCTAGAGATCCCTGGGGAATTGGTTCCAAGACTCCCCTCGGACACCTAGATCCACATATGCTCAAGTTCCTGATATAAAGTGGCATAGTATTTGCATATAACATACATGCTTTGTTCCATATACTTTAAATCATCTCTAGATTACTTATAATACCTAATACAATGTAAATGTTATGGCAATAGTTGTGATACTGTATTGTATAGGAAATAGTGATGAAAAAAATTCTGTACATGTTCTGTACAGACACAGCCATCCATTTATATTTATTTTTAAATATTAATTTTTTTTAAGATGGGATCTTACTCTGTCACCCAGGCTGGAGTGCAGTGGCGTGATCTCGGCTCCCTGAAATCTCCACCTCCTGGGCTCAAGTGATCCTCCTGCCTCAGCCTCCCGAGTAGCTGAAAATATGGGTGTGCACCACCATACCTGGCTAATTTTTTGTATTTTTTATAGAGATGGGGTTTCACCATGTTGTGCAGGCTGGTCTCGAACTCCTGCGTTCAAGTGATCTGCCTGCCTTGACCTCCCAAAGTGCTGGGATTACAGGCGTGAACCACCACACCTGGCTTATTTTTAAATATTTTCGATTTGCGATTGGTTGAATCCTCAGATGCAGAACTCAAGGACAGGGCTGCTGACTGTACTTGCGCCTTCTCTTTCAATGCTTCAAGAGAATAGAATTTTGGCTAATTATTGCCATTCGTGTGTTCACAGATTGAAACGCAGCCATGTACCTTGAATTTGCTGGATGTCAGTCTTTAAATGGTTTTTACTTTTCCAGGCTCCAAATGAAGAGACTTGTAAATATGATATGTTTCTGGATTACAGAAGCAGTTCTTAGGAGATAACTTTGGTTTTTGGCAGTTTTATTATGATATGCCTAGATTTGTTTTTTTTTTTTTGTATTTATCCTCTTCGGCGTTCCTAGAATTTCTTCAGTCTATGGCTTGATAGCTTTGTCAGTTTTGGAAAATACTGGCCAGTGTTTCTTCAAATACTGATTCTAAGTACACATTTTGCTACATTTTCTCTCCTCTCTCAGGTCTCCGGTTATGCTTATGACAGACCTTTTTCATCTTATCCCATATATTTGTTATGCTCTTTTATGTAGTTCTCATTCTTTTTAATTAGGAGGTTTTTCCCCCTTTCATGGTAATAATTTTCATCATTCATAGTTTTTATCCTGGATGTTTTCTGTATACTAGTCTTCCAGTTCACTAAATTCTCTTTCCTAATTTGTGTCTAAATTAGGAAAGCTGCTGTTAAACTCATCTGTCAAATTCTTAATTTTCATTTGTTTTTGTAGATCTTGGTTCCTTGGTGAGAGTCTGTCTTGTAATTTTCTTAAACACGTCAATCTTTTGTTTTAATGTCAATGTCTGTTAACTCCAGTCTAGATTACTTGTGGGTCTCTTTCCATTTTCTCATTTCTGGAACATCAGGTTCTGTTTTTTGGCATGCCTGGCAATTTAAAAAATTTTTTTCATTATTTTTAAACTTATGATTCGTGAATCAGGCAGCCCTCAGAATCATAGCAGATTCAGAGAGATTCCCGATGCCTGGCAATTTTTTATTGAAAATCTGGATATCTTCTTAGAGAGTGGATTTAACCTTCTTCTAAAAGTCTGAGCAGATCGTCTTGATTGAGTAGAGGCTGGTTTTTTGATTTGTCCATATTCCCAAAGCATAATGCTTCTGGAATCTCTTTCCAGGGCTCCTCCTCTGCTAGGCACTTAACTCCAACAAAATTTTGTCTCCCTAGTGCTGACAGATGACAGACTGCTGAAATATCTGCCCAGAAATAGTAGTGACTTCAGTAAGCAGACTCATTTCTTTTAGCAGCTTCTTCCTGCTTGGTTTGTCTGAGATGTGCCCCAGGTGTGTACAATTTTTGTGTGCAAATACCCACCTCAAGAGGAAAGGGCACGCAGAATGCAGAGTTTGTTTCAGTGCTTCAGTCCCTCCATTCCATGATTTTGGTTCCTCATGTCCTGGCCGCTTTGGTTGCTTTTATCAGACAGAACTCTTCAACATTTCTTCTTACTTTTTTTTGTCTACTTTTCTCGTTGTGGTTAGGAGGACTGTTTGTTTGGAACAGCAACTCCATCATAGTCAGAGAGAAATTTTGTCATGGATTACTTTGACTTTTAAAAATTAAAACTACATTTATTGAAGTTAACACTTCAAACCTGTTTCACAAGCTGTTAAGCTCATCTTAAGGTCTTACTCTAATCTTTTTTGAGGCCTTTTGTAATTTGTTTAATGAAATATTTCACATTTTATTTATACATTTAATATTCTTTTTTGTTTTAAATTTTTACTTAACTTTTGGTTTGACTTACTTAATGATTTTCGTACCTAACTTTAAATCTTCCTAGAATTTAAATATGTTTGTTAATTAAGGAAATGATTATGTAATTGCAAACAGTTTTGTAGTTTACCTTCTTTGCTGATTGACGGTGCATAACAACTTACGACATAAAGTCTGGAGCTATAAATTCAGAGAAATGTCTCCTGTTTCTGACTGCTTGACTAAGCCCCTTTTGATAATAATGATGCTATAAACTCTGCAATTAAAAAGAAAAAGAGGTTCTTTTTTTTTTTCCTTTGTTTTTGAGATAGAGTCTCGCTCTATTGCCCAGGCTGGAGTGTAGTGGTGCGATCTCTGCTCACCACAACCTCTGCCTCCCTGGTTCAAGCCATTCTCCTGCCTCAGCCCCCTGAGTAGCTGGGATTACAGGCTCACGCCACTACACCTGGCTAATTTTTATATTATTAGTAGAGACAGGGTTTCATCATGTTGGCCAGGCTGGCCTTGAAAAAAAAAATACAGAGGTTCTGATGATGATCATGTATTCTGTCCCTGCACTTGACTTACATGCTTTTCAAGCCAGACAATTCTAGCCCTCATCCATCCTTTTCCTGCTTTATCAGTTTTTAGTAATTTTCATACTCTTCCTATTTACTTATTAGGAGCCATTTGACATCTAATTGGAGTTTATGCATTCCAAGTTGTGCCTGTCTTCCCATTTATATTTTTAGGATGTTCTTATCACAGTGGCATAGGCTGTTCGTTGGAAATGAAGCTACTCATTGCCACTCATTTAAAAATTGACTTGTTTTAAATGTATTGTCACCTAGTGTTTGCAATCTCATTTATCTGGACTATCAACTTACTGTTGCTTTTCTGTCTACAGAAAGATAAAAACTCTCCAGATGTCTTCCAGTAATGTCGAAGTTTTTATCCCAATGTCACAAGAAAACACCAATGGCTTCCCCACGACAACTTCCAATGACCGGAAGGCATTTACTGAAGGAGCTGTGTTAAGTTTTCATAACATCTGCTATCGAGTAAAAGTGAAGAGTGGCTTTCTACCTGGTCGAAAACCAGTTGAGAAAGAAATACTATCGAATATCAAGTATGTACATGAACTTGTAAAAAGACAGCTTTTTAATTTACCTACAGTGAACCTCACAGGTTTTGCATATTTCCAAGAAAGTGGCTATGAACATTTTTGTAAAAGTCTTTGCACAGATATACAGACATATGCTTTCATTTGTTTTGGCTAAACTAGGAGTGAAATAATTGGGTCACATTTAGGTATATGTGTAACTCTCAAAGTAACTGCCAGAGTTAAAAAAAAAAAAAAAAGTACCACATGTGGCTGGGTTCGCTGGCTCATGCCTGTAATCCCAGCACTTTGGGAAGCCGAGGCAGGTGGATCATGAAGTCAAGAGATCGAGAACATCCTGGCCAACATGGTGAAACCCTGTCTCTACTGAAAATACAAAAAATTAGCTGGGCATGGTGGCGTGTGTTTGTAATCCCAGCTACTTGGGAGGCTGAGGCAGGAGTATGGCTTGAATCTGGGAGATCAAGGCTGCAGTGGGTGATGATTGTCCCACTGTACAAATGGGTGGCAAAGTGAGAGCCTATCTCAAAAGAAAAAAAAAAGCATACTTTGTGAAGGTATTTTTATTTTGCTTATCTTATCTTTTAAAGCTAGTAGATTAATAACTTGATGCAATAGAAGTCTCATCTGCTCGAGGCGTCACACCTTTTTTTTTTTTTTTTTTTGAGATGGAGTCTCACTCTGTCACCCAGGCTAGAGTGCAGCAGCACAATCCCAGCTCACTGCAACCTCCACCTCCCAGGTTCAAGTGATTCTCCTGCCTCAGCCTTCTGAGTAGCTGGGATTACAGGTGTGTGCCACCACGCCCAGCTAATTTTTGTATTTTTAGTAGAGATGGGGTTTCACCATGTTGGCCAGGCTGGTCTCGAACTCTTGACTTCGTGATCCCCCCACCTCGGCCTCCCAAAGTTCTGGGATTACAGATGTGAGCTGAGCCACCATGCCCAGCCACGCATTTTTTTATGGTCAAATGGCATGTATTTCAGCAACAGATGAGTTCATCTTCACTGCGTGAATAGAACTGTGTTCCTTCCCAAGCTCATAAAAATGCAGTCAGATCTTGCAGTTCTTTCACGTTTTAGTTGAAAGGTCATCAAAGGTTGGTGTTTTTGCTGCTGGCATTTCCTGTTTAAGTATCCATGAGAAAGGTCATGCCTTTTTTGGCTGTAGTATTTCCAGTCTTTCTTCTATCTGCTGGCTCCAACTCTAAATACAGTTTCTGGGGGTAGATGAAGGGCTGCTGTCACTTACCTTATTTTTGATTTGTGTTTGATAGCAGCATCACCATTCAGATAGTCAATTACATTCTAAAAAAGCTGATGAGAGTTTTGATTTTGGTTTTTCCTCTGGACATTTTGTAATTTCCCTTCTAGAACTAAGTCACTACAACCTGATTTCCTCTGTGGGAGGAAGAAGATAAAACAATCTGACCATGAGAATTTAAAAAGTTGTGATTCTTCTGTCTTAGGAAAAATCTTTCTCTTATGCTTGTTTGTCTCCATACCCAGCATTTGAGCTTTCCCTCACCAACGCTGAAGATCTTATGGAAAAAAGTTATTCATTCCCATAGATATGTGGATGTCCTGTTATTTTAAGATAAATTCATTATACTCTTGGACAATTTTTAATTAATAACATATTTTGAAATGATTTCAAATTTATTTATTTATTTTTTAGAGATGGGGTCTTGCTGTGTCACCTAGGCTGGAGTGTGGTGGTGCAATCATAGCTCACTATAAGCTCAGACTCCTGGGCTCAAGTGGTTCTCCGGCCTCAGCCTCTGGAGTAGCTAGATACCACAATGCCTGGCTAATTAAAAAAATTTTTTTGTTGTGGAGATGGGGTCTTTCTACATTGCCCAGGCTGGTCTTGAACTCCTGGGCTCAAGTGATCCTCCCACCTTGGCCTCCCAAAGCACTGGGATTATAAGCATGAGCCACTGCACCTGGCCTGATGTGAAATTTAAACCTTGCAGGAACATAACCCTTTTCATTCAGGTTCTCGCCAACATTTCACTGCATTTGTTCTCATCACTTTGTCTTTTCATGTTCCCATGGTCATTAGTGTTTTTTCTGAACCATGTGAGTGCAGGCTGTCCACATGGTGCTTCCTTCTCCCTAATTCTTCCAGTGTGTGTGTTCCTGAAATAAGGACCCTCTCCTGTATGACCACTCAGACATTGTCCAGGAGCAGCCAAGGGGAAATGTAGCCTTGTAAGGAAGGTTTTGGTAGGTCCTCAGGGCCTTGGGTCAACCATGCCCCTCCCATATTTGACTGCCCACCATATCCTGTCTCTTCAGTCTCGTTCAACATGGTATTTTCTTATCTCATCCTACCCCTGGTGATGTTAAAATTGATCACCTGGTCATGTTGATGTCTGTCAAACTTGGCTATAATGTCACCTTTCCCCTTGGTAATTGATTAGTGTTATGAGGGGAGATAAGCTGACATTATTCCTGAACTCCATTCTACATTAAACTTCAGCTTCAGTCCCCACTGGATGGCTCCTGCCTGAATCAGCCACCACTATCATAGTTGCTAAACAGTGATTTTCTATTTTCATTATCTCTTAGTTTGTTTTACTGAAAGGAGAAACCTTCATCTGTCACCAGTATAGAGTCATGGATTTGTATTTTATTCAATTAATGCATTATTATGTTTTACCTTCATACTCTTATTGTTCCTGATTTGGTCAGTGGGAGATCTTTCAAGGTGGGTTCTTCCCTCCCTCCGTCTCTCATTCTTTGGATATATCTCCTCATTCTTTTTTTATTTTATTATTTTATTTTATTTTATTTTATTTTTTTGAGACGGAATTTTGCTCTTATTGCCCAGGCTGGAGTGTAATGGCGTGATCTTGGCTCACTGCAACCTCCAGCTCCCTGGTTCAAGTGATTCTCCTGCCTCAGCCTCCTAAGTAGCTGGGTTTACAGGTGCCCACCACCATGCCCAGCTAATTTTTTGTATTTTAGTAGAGACAGGGTTTCATCATATTGGCCAGACTGGTCTCAAACTCCTGACCTCAGGTGATCCACCCTCCTTGGCCTCCCAAAATGTAGGGATTACGAGCGTGAGCCACCACGCCCGGCCTCTTTTTGTAATTAAACAAATTTTATTAGAGACAAGGACTTACTTTGTTGCCCAGGCTGGAGTGCAGTGGCATGATCATAGCTTACTGCAACCTCAATCCCTTGGGCTCAAGTGATCCTGTCACCTCAGCCTCCTGAGTAGCTGGGACCACCAGCACATACCACCACTTCCAGCTAACTTTTAAGTTTTTTGTAGAGATAGGGTTTCACTATGTTGCCCAGGCACATCTCAAACTCGTGAGCTCAAATGTTCCTCCCACCTTGCCTCGTTCTTTGAATATTTACTTGGCATGGCAAGCAATTCCAGACTCACTGTGTACTTACCCTGCCTCAGACCTAGTATCAGCTGTTGATTTTTATGGAGGAGATATTTACAAAACCAAAATCTGGGTGTTTAAAATGCTCATTGCTATTGGGATGTCATTGCTTCTAGGTTTTCTCAGTGGAGTGAGACCTAGAGAATATATATATAATGCATATATGTCTACACACATGTGCATACACATACATGCATAACTTTAAAAAAAATTACCTCCCATGTGCAGGCGCATACAGATCTGGCCAAAGCAGGTGGGAGAGGAGCCTGGGGAGCAGTGGTGACCATTCCCACAGCACCCTGGGAGTTTCCATCTTTATCTTTCTGTGGCTGTCTTTGTATATGGATTAAAACCTATGGCTTCTCATTAATATCTCCAATTCTGATCTGAACCCTCAAGATTCTGTCTATATTTCCATGTTTGTAAAATCTCAAAAAGTGAAAAATCTAGCTCTAACTCACTAGAGAGGGTGGGAGATTGTTTATATTATGGAATAAGAAAATCAGCAAGTACATTAAGGATGTACTTCCTGATTTTTCTATTCCATAATATAAACAATCTCCCATCCTCTGGCTATCTCTTCTTAACATTTTTTTTTTTTTTTTTGAGACGGAGTCTTGCTCTGTTGCCCAGGCTGGAGTGCAGCTCGGCTCACTGCAACCTCCACCTCCTGGGTTCAAGTGATTCTCCTGCCTCAGCCTCCCGAGTAGCTGGGATTACAGGTGCCTGCTGCCATGCCTGGCTAATTTCTGTATTTTTAGTAGAGATGAGGTTTTGCCATGTTGGCCAGGCTGGTCTAGAACTCCTGATCTCAAGTGATCCACCTGCCTCGGCCTCCCAAAGTGCTGGGATTACAGGCGTGAGCCACCACGCCTGGCTGAATTCTCCTTTCTCCAGTTCCTTATCTACTTATCATTCTACTTGGTATCTTTAGGATAAAATCAAACTATTTGCCATCTTCTTGGGTCTCAGCACAGTCAACAGTGCCATAATTTTTTCCACCTTCCTACTCTGTCTGAATATTCACTCCCCCAGACATCCACTTTGTTTGAAACGTTTTTATGTCTGTACCACGTCTTCATATTCTTAAAGGATACCCCTACCAAAGTGATGTCTTCTTCTAAACTTGGAGTTTTCCAGTGTATTTATCTGACTCTTAACAAGGAAGAAAATGATATATCTTGAGGATATATCTTTTACTTTTCTAAGTGGATTAAGGCTTTTTTTTTCTTTCGGTCATGTTTTCTTTTTATCCTGAAGTGCTTTATCCTAGCCTCGATTTCTACTTAGATGTTTCTTGGACTGATTAGATTTTAGCAGTGAGAATACTTCTACCAGTATTCCACAAATTAGCGACTTATTAATTGTGTAGAATTTTACTAGGTAGCAAATGAGATCACTTGAAGATACAGTACTGATAATCAAACGGTACTCAGAACATGCCATGTATTTCACACTGTGTTAAGAGCAGTAAGTGTAACAGGGATGTTTCATAAGAATCTGTTAGTTATTTCAAGGAGCGTTGAATGTTGAATATCATCTTCCAGAAAATATAAATGGGTTAGAGAATAAGTGAAAGGAATTTAGAGGAATCTATGCCATTTTTCTTGTAGGACTTGACCAGTGATTAACATCCATTGTATATTACACATCAAATCAACAATCTTTTTTTTTTTTTTTAAAGTAGAGACAGTGTCTCCCTATGTTGCCTAGACAGGTCTTAAACTCCTGGCCTCAGGCAATCCTTCTGCTTTGGTTTCCTAAAGTGCTGGGATTACAGGCCTGAGCCACCATGCATGGCCTGTTTTTTGTTTGTTGGTTTGTTTTCTTTAAGAGTTGGTTTGCGCTTGTTTTCTGTTTGTAATTTCATCAGCCTTCATTGAGTATATTCAGTGCAGACCCTAAATCAATAGAACCTGATCTAAAGTGGAATAGTAAACCAGTCTGTTTTTGTGTTTGCAGTGGGATCATGAAACCTGGCCTCAATGCCATTCTGGGACCCACAGGTGGAGGCAAATCTTCGTGAGTATAAGAGAGTATAAGTAAGCTTTTTCTGTGCACTTTTAATGTGCTTTTAAAATCCACTTTTCTGTGTGTGTGACCAGGTGTTTATTGAGCATTTGCAATGCATGTCAGGTCTGGTTCTAGGTGCTGTGGATAACTGTAGTTGTGTGGTTTTGTCCCAAGGACCAGGTAGTCTTATTAGGTTAGCTTTACTAATAGGACTTGATAAGGTGATTGACATGTAGCAGTTGACCATGTTATCAGCTAATAGGGAGGAAAAAGAATGGGAGAATGTTAAAAGTAGGGAAAGGGAGCAGAAGATGTAAGTAAAGGCATGAGTCTTAGATAAAAGAACACATTGCCTGTGTTGGCACCTCCAAGGTCAGACAGCTGGGAGGGCCATTTGGGAGATCTGTACTTGATCAGCCAATAGTGTCTTGCTTTATGTTTTGGGGCTTTATTGTAATGTACAATGAAAAGAGAAAGATGAGAATTTTTAAAAGCATAATTTTAGTTAAACCATAGAATTTCTTGACCAGTTAGTTTTCTAACTAAAGCAGAATTTGGATTCAAAGTAGCCATGGAATATATAGCCTGTGTTGGAGGGAAAAAAACCCACAACATATATATGCTCTTATAGGTTATTAGACCCACAACGTATACGTCCTCTTATAGGTTATTAGATGTCTTAGCTGCAAGGAAAGATCCAAGTGGATTGTCTGGAGATGTTCTGATAAATGGAGCACTGCGACCTACCAATTTCAAATGTAATTCAGGTTACGTGGTACAAGTAAGTATTAGTGGGTTTGCATTTTCTGTTTCCTCTGTTTCTATATGGGTAAGTGCTTTGGCTGATAGTTCAGTGTGCTTCCAGTTGATTATGTGACATGTTCCTAGAACTGACTTCCTTTACAGCAGCTTTTCTTGATTTCGCATAGACACTTATGTGAAAAGGCAGGGAGAATCTGGAATATGGCCCTTGTAAGGACAGTGATACCAATTCTCGTTTTTCTATCATTTCTAAAAGATACTACTGTTATCCTTTTTTTGCCTTTCCTTCATCTTTCTTTTCCCCTAGCTTAGAAAGATATTTTAGCAAATCCTTGTATGAAGCAATCTGGAAGTGTCTGCTGGTAGTTAACATAATTACTTGCATTCTATTTGGGTGTACAGATAGGGGGTGAAAATGATTATAGCAGGCTTTGCAGACATCTATGGGGTTAACTGTCATTTGCAGAACTGCAGGTTCATCATTAGTTAGAACTTTACCTTAGTTATGTTATTTTTGTGGATTATGTTACATATACTAAACAGTCGTGGTCTTAGAAAAGACTCATTATGTCTCATTAAAATGCTATTTGTCTTAAGGATGATGTCGTGATGGGCACTCTGACGGTGAGAGAAAACTTACAGTTCTCAGCAGCTCTTCGGCTTCCAACAACTATGACGAATCATGAAAAAAACGAACGGATTAACAGGGTCATTCAAGAGTTGGGTCTGGATAAAGTGGCAGACTCCAAGGTAATGTGGAAAAACTGAAAGCACCGTGATCAGCATAAATAGGACCTCCCCGTGTGGATAAAACGACTCTGATTCAGAGGTTTCCTGTAATGTGTATGGTCAAAAGTGATTGCTTTCCGTAACAATGAGAAAAGCAGCTTGTTACATAATATGAATGTGGAAATTAACCTGGAAAAAAATCTTCACAGTGTTTGAATTGTGCACCTGAAGTGATGTGGTGTTGTATGTGAAAGTGTTCCTCACCTGCCCTTTCCTTATGCTCCTCCCCCACCTTATGGCTTAAGTCATGTCTCATTCCATATCTGCACTAACTTTTCTTCTTCCTCTTTTAATCTTCCTCCTTTCAGTCACTCTTCCTCCAAGGGAATTTGTTCCATTGCTATTGAGGTGTATTTCTGGGATTGATAAGTGATGAGAGTCCAAGGATTCTTGCTCTGTATCAGCAGTCCCCAACGTTTTTGGCACCAGGGACTGGTTTTGTAGAAGACAGTTTTTCTATGGACCAGGGTAGGGGGGATGGTTTTGGGATAATTCAAGTGTATTACATTAATTGTACGCTTTATTTCTATTATTATTTCATTGTAATATACAATGAAATAATTATACAACTCATCATAATACAGAATCAGGGGGAGCCCTGAGCTGGCTTTCTTGCAACTAGATGGTCCCATTTGGGGGTGATGGGAAACAGTCATCAGGCATTAGATTCTCATAAGGAGCACACAGTTTAGATCCCTTGCACGTGCAGTTCACAATAGGGTTTGTGCTCCTATGAGAATCTAATGCCTCCACTGACCTGACCGGTGGAGCTCAGGCAGTAATGCAAGCATTGAGGAGCCGCTGTAAATACGGATGAAGCTTTGCTTGCTCACCTGCTGTGCATACTGGTTCCCCAGGAGTTGGGGACCCCTGCTCTATATATTTCAGTTCGCTGTAATTTGGCTTCCAAAATTATATTTGGTCAAATTAGGATTTATTTCTCATTTGTGTAGTGTGGTTTTTTTATAGCCTTTCTTTTGATGGTTTTGTCTCTCATTCCCTCCCTCCTTCTCTGCCTCTTTTTCTTCTGCCAGATGTTTACAGACTTTTGTATGCTAAGCTGTCTTTTAGGTTCTAGAGATAAAATTGTGGGCAAGAGAGACAAAGTAACACCTCCTCTTGTGGGTTGGAGAGGATCGTGAAGAAAAAAAATGAAACGAATGAATGAACTTTACAATTGATTAATAGGTATGGAAGATTTGCTGAGAAGACATTTGAAGCTTTGGGTGAAAATGAGCTTTTTGCATTGTAATGCCTGTAACATAATCCCCTGTGGTATCCCTTACTTAGAAGCAATGAAGAATGAGATGTGCTAATGGTCTATACTTCATATTATGCTTTCTGACAATATTTTCTGTTCAGGGTGTTTTACTGTATTTTGTTTGGAAGAGTAACTCTGAGATGCCACCATCACCACTTATTTCCACTTTATGGGTTTTCTTTGCTTCGGTTTTGTTTATTTATTTGATTTTATCTTTCCAGTAAGGCGGTTTATTCCACTCTGTTCTTTACCTTCAGGCAGCCATTGCCCTATGTTGCTTGTTAGGATTTCTAGGGAAAACAGACTGTGAAGGCACAGCTATTGACTTCCTAGTTTATTTATCTAAATGACTGAAGCAATACATTTAAAATATTTACTTTTTATGAAATTTTAAACATAACAAATGTAGAGTGAATTGTCTGATTACTATAGTAATTATATGGTTATAGTATCATTAATATAATAATAAAACTATTAATATCATTTACATAGATTTCCCAGTTATTAACCTTAGGTATATGGGGTCAGTTTGGGAAGCCTCATGGTAATTAAAAAGGTGTTAATACGGTATGAGAGAAAGTGAACTTTCCTAGCTACGGAGCCCATGCTTTTACTGTAAGTCCACCTGGACACTGGGAGGGGAGAGAGTGTTAGAAGGCTAATACATTATAGTTGCTTTCACATTTTCTTCTCCTGACTTTATCTCCCTTTTTAGACTGTGATTTCACCATGTCACCTATCTTTTAGCGTTCTGAACTTCAAACTAAATATTTGACTCGGTAAGGAACAAACTGTTAACAGCAGGTGCTTTTTTTTTGTAAATTTTATCTTTTATTAAAGTTCTGGGATACATGTGTAGAACCTGCAGGTTTGTTATATAGGTATACATGTGCCATGGTGGTTTGCTGCACCTATCAATCCATCATCTACATTAGGTGTTTCTCCTAATGCTATCCTTTCCCTAGCCCCCGACACCCCGACAGGCCCCAGTGTGTGATGTTCCTCTCCCTGTGTCCATGTGTTCTCATTGTTCAACTCCCACTTATGAGTGAGAACATGTGGTGGTTGGTTTTCTGTTCCTGTGTTGGTTTGCTGAGAATGATGGTTTCCAGCTTCATCCATGTCCCTGCAAAGGACATGAACTCATTCTTTTTTATGGCTGCATAGTATTCCATGGTGTATATATGCCACATTTTCTTTATCCAGTCTATCATTGTGGGCATTTGGGTTGGTTCCAAGTCTTTGCTATTGTGAACAGTGCTACAATAAATATATGTGTGCCTGTGTCTTTATAGTTGAATGATTTATAATCCTTTGGGTATATACCCAGTAATGGGATTGCTGGGTCAAATGGTGTTTCTGGTTCTAGATCCTTGAGGAATCGCCACACTGTCTTACACAATGGTTCAACTAATTTACACTCCTACTAACAGTGTAAAAGCATTCTTATTTCTCCTCATCCTCTCCAGCATCTGTTGTTTCCTGACTTTTTAATGATCTCTTTTCTAACTGGCGTGTGATAGTATCTCATTGTGGTTTTGATTTGCAGTTCTCTAATGACCAGTGATGATGAACTTTGTTTCATATGTTTGTTGGCTACATAAATGTCTTCTTTTGAGAGGTGTCTATTCATATCCTTTGCCCAGTTTTTGATGGAGTTATGTTTTTCTTGTAAATTTGTTTAAGGTCTTTGTAGTTTCTGGATATTAGCCCTTTGTCAGATGGATAGATTGCAAAAATTTTCTCCCATTCTGTAGGTTGCCTGTTCACTCTGAAGATAGGTTTCTTTTTTTTTTCTTTTCTTTTTTCTTTTTTTTTGTGCCGTGCAGAAGCTCTTTAGTTTAATTAGATCCCATCTGTCAATTTTGGCTTTTGTTGCAGTTGCCTTCAGTGTTTTAGTCATGAAGTCTTTGCCCGTGCCTGTGTCCTGAATGGTATTGCCTAGGTTTTCTTCTAGGGTTTTTACAGTCTTAGGTCTTACATTTAAGTCTTTAATCCATCTTAAGTTAATTTTTGTATAAGGTGTAAAGAAGGGTCCAGTTTCAGTTTTCTGCATATGGCTAGCCAGTTTTCCCAGCACCATTTATTAAATATGGAATCCTTTCCCCATTGCTTGTTTTTGTCAGGGATGTCAAAGATCAGATGGTTGTAGATGTGTGGCATTATTTCTGAGGCCTCTGTTCTATTCCATTGGTCTATATATCTGTTTTGGTACCAGTACCATGCTGTTTTGGTTACTGTAGTCTTGTAGTATAGTTTAAAGTCAGGTAGCGTGATGCCTCCAGCTTTGTTCTTTTTGCGTAGGATTGTCTTGGCTATATGGGCTTTTTTTTGGTTCCATATGAAATTTAAAGTAGTTTTTTCTAATTCTGTGAGGAAAGTCAATGGTAGCTTGATGGGGATAACATTGAATCTATGTATTACTTTGGACAGTATGGCCATTCTCATGATATTGATTCTTCCTATCCGTGAGCATGAAATGTTTTTCCATTTGTTTGTGTCCTCTCTTACTTCCTTTAGCAGTGATTTGTAGTTCTCCTTGAAGAGGTTCTTCACATCTTTTGTAAGTTGTATTCCTAGATATTTTATTCTCTTTGTAGCAATTGTAAATGGAAGTTCATGATTTGGCTATTATTGGTGTATAGGAATGCTTGTGATTTTTGCACATTGATTTTGTATCCTGAGACTTTGCTGAAGTTGTTTATCAGCTTAAGGAGATTTTGGGCTGAGACAAAGGGCTTATCTAAGTATACAATCATATCATCTGCAAACAGAGACAATTTGACTTCCACTCTTCCCATTTGAATACGCTTTATTTCTTTCTCTTGCCTGATTGCCCTGGCCAGAACTTCCAATATTATGTTGAATAGGAGTGGAGAGAGAGGGCGTCCTTGTCTTGTGCAGGTTTTCAAAGGGAATGCTTCTAGCTTTTGCCCATTCAGTGTGATGTTGGCTGTGGGTTTGTCATAAATAGCTCTTATTATTTTGAGATACATTCCATCAATACCTAGTTTATTGAGAGATTTTAGCATGAAGGGGTGTTGAATTTTATCAAAGGCCTTACTGCATCTTTTGAGACAATCATGTGGTTTTCATCGTTTGTTCTATTGTGTGATGGATTATGTTTATTATGTTCAACCAGTCTTGCATCCCAGGGATGAAACCAACTTGATCGTGGTAGGTAAGGTTTTTGATGTGCTACTGGATTTGGTTTGCCAGTAGTTTGTTGAGGATATTTGCATTGATGTTCATCAGGGATATCGGCCTGAAATTTTCTTTTTTTGTGTGTCTCTGCCAGGTTTTGGTGTTAGAATGATGCTGGCCTCATAAAATGAGTTAGGGAGGAGTCCCTCTTTTTCTATTGTTTGGAATAGTTCAGAAGGAATAGTACCAACTCCTCTTTGTACTTGTGGTAGAAATCGGCTGTGAATCCATCTGGTCCTGGATTTTTTTGGTTGGTAGGCTATTAATTACTGCCTCAATTTCAGAACTTGCTATTGGTCTATTCATGGATTCAACTTCTTCCTTGATTAGTCTTGGGAGGGTATATGTGTCCAGGAAAATCCATTTCTTCTAGATTTTCTAGTTTATTTGCATAGAGGTGTTTATAGTATTCTCTGATGGTAGTTTGTATTTCTGTGGGATCAGTGATTATATCCCCTTTTTCATTATTTAATGTATCTATTTGATTCTTCTCTCTTCTTTATTAGTCTAGCTTGTGCTCTATCTATTCTGTTAAACTTTTCAAAAAACCAGCCCCTGGATTCATTGATTTTTTTGAAGGTTTTTTTCCTGTCTCTATCTCCTTCAGTTCTTCTCTGATCTTGGTTATTTCTTGTCTTCTGCTAGCTTTTGAACTTGTTTGCTCTTGTTTCTCTAGTTCTTTTAATTGTGATTTGGTGTCATTTAGATCTTTCCCACTTTCTCCTGTGGGCATTTAGTGCTATAAATTTCCCTCTAAACACTGCTTTAGTTATGTCCCAGAGATTGTAGTATGTTGTGTCTTTGTTCTCATTGGTTTCAAAGAATTTATTTATTTCTGCCTTCATTTTGTTATTTACCCAGTAGTTGTTCAGGAGCAGGTTGTTCAGTTTCCATGTAGTTGTGTGGTTTTGAGTGAGGTTTTTTTGGTGTTTGTTTGTTTGTAGGTGTCTATTAGGTTCACTTGGTCCAGAGCTGAGTTCAAGTCCTGAATATCCTTGTTAATTTTCTGTCTTGATGATCTGTCTAATATTGACAGTGGGGTGTTAAAGTTTCCCACTATTATTGTGTGGGAGTCTAAGTCTCTTTGTAGGTCTCTAAGGACTTGCTTTATGAATCTGCATGCTCCTGTATTGGGTGCATATGGATTTAGGATAGTTAGCTCTTCTTGTTGCACTGATCTCTTTACCATTAGGTAATGCCCTTCTTTGTCTTTTTTGATCTTTGTTGCTTTAAAGTCTTTTACCAGAGACTGGGTTTACAACCTCTGCTTTTTTTTGCTTTGCAGTTGCTTGGTAGATCTTCTTCCATCTCTTTATTTTGAGCCTATGTGTGTGTTTCATATGAGATGGGTCTCCTGAATACAGCACACTGATGGGTCTTGACTCTTTATCCAATTTGCTAGTCTGTGTCTTTTAACTGGGGTATTTAGCTCATTTACCTTTAAGGTTAATATTGTTATGTGTGAATTTGATCTTGTCATTATGATTCTCGTCATTATGATCCTGTGAATATGATATTAGCTGGTTATTTTGCTCATTAGTTGATGCAGTTTCTTCATAGTGTTGATGGTTTTTACAACTTGGTATGTTTTTGCAGTCACTGGTACCAGTTTTTCCTTTCCATATTTAGTGCTTCCTTGAGGAGCTCTTTTGAGGCAGGCCTGGTGGTGACAAAATCCCTCAGCCCTTGCTTGTCTGTAAAGGAATTTATTTCTCCTTCGCTTATGAAGCTTAGTTTGGCTGGATATGAAATTCTGGGTGAAAAATTCTTTTCTTTAAGAATTTTGAATATTGGTCCCCACTCTTTTCTGACTTACAGGGTTTCTGCAGAGAGATCTGTTGTTAGTCTGACAGGCTTTCCTTTGTGGGTAACCCAACCTTTCTTTCTGGCTGCCCTTCATATATTTTCCTTCATTTCAACCTTTGTGAGTCTGACGATTATGTGTCTTGGGGTTGCTCTTCTTGAGGAGTATCTTTGTGGTGGTCTCTGTATTTCCTGAATTAGAATGTTGGCCCATCTTGCTTGGTTGGGGAAGTTCTTCTGGATAATATCCTGAAGAGTGTTTTCCAACTTGGTTCCATTCTCCCTGTCACTTTCAGGTAACCAATCAAACGTAGGTTTTGTCTTGTCATATAGTCCCATATTTCTTGGAGGCTTTGTTTGTTCGTTTTCATTCTTTTTTCTCTAAGTCTTCATGCTTTGTTTCATTAAGTTGATCTTCAATCTCTGATATCCTTTCTTCCACTTGATCGATTTGGCTATTGATACTTGTGTTTGCTTCACGAAGTTCTTGTGCTGTGTTTTTCAGCTTCATCAGGTCATTTATGTTCCTCTCTAAACTGGTTATTCTAGTTAGCAATTCCTCTATCCTGTTTTCAATGTTCTTAGCTTCCTTCCATTGGGTTAGAACATGAACATGCTCCTTTAGCTCAGAGGAGTTTGTTATTACCCACCTTCTGATGCCTACTTCTGTCTATTCATCAAACTCATTCTCCATCCAGTTTTGTTCCCTTGCTGGCGAGGAGTTGTGATCCTTTGGAGGAGAAGAGGCATTCTGGTTTTTGAAATTTTCCGCCTTTTTGCATAGGTTTTTCCTCATCTTCATTGATTTATCTAACTTTGGTCTTTGATGCTGGTGACCTTGGGATGGGATTTTAGTGTGGACATCCTTTTTGTTGATGTTGATGTTATTCCTTTCTGTTTGTTAGTTTTCCTTCTAACAGGCCCCTCTGCTGCAGGTCTGCTGGAGTTTGCTGCGGGTCCACTCCAGACCCTGTTTGCCGGGTTATCACCAGCAGAGGTTGTAGAACAGCAAAGATTGCTGCCTGTTTTTTCCTCTGGAAGCATTGTTCCCAGAGGGGCACTCACCAGTTGCCAGCCGGAGCTCTCCTGTATGAAGTGTCTGTCGACCCCTGCTGGGAGGTGTCTCCCAATCAGGAGGCACAGGGGTCAAGGATCCACTTGAGGAGGCAGTCTGTTCCTTAGCAGAGGTCTAGCACTGTGCTGGGAGATTCACTGCTCTCTTTAGAGCCGGCAGGAACGTTTAAATCTGCTGAAGCTGTGCCGGCAGCCTCCTGCTCTGTCCCAGGGAGGTGGGAGTTTTATCTATGTGCTCCTGACTGGGGCTGCTGCCTTTCAGAGGTGCCCTGGCTAGAGAGGAGGGATCTAGAGAGGCAGTCTGGCTACAGTGGCTTTGCTGAGCTGTGGTCGGCTCCACCCAGTTCAAATTTCCTGGGGGCTTTGTTTACACTGTGAGGGCCTACTCAAGCCTCAGTAATGGTGGACGCCCCTCCCCCTACCAAGCTCAAGCATCCCAGGTTGACTTTAGACTGCTGTGCTGGCAGTTAGAATTTCAAGCCAGTGGATCTTAGCTTGCTGGTCTCTGTGGGGCTGGGATCCACTGAGCTAGACTAGACCACTTGGCTCCCTGGCTTCAGCCCCCTTTCCAGGGCAGTCAACAGTTTTGTCTCGCTGGCATTCCAGGCGCCACTGGGGTATGAAAAAAAACTGCAGCTATCGGTGTCTGCCCAAATGGCCGCCCAGTTTTGTGGTTGAAACCCAGGACCCTGGTGGCGTAGGCACCCATGGGAATCTCCTGGTCTGCGGGTTGTGAATATCATGGGAAAAGAGCAGTGTCTGGGCTGGAATACACCATCCCTCATGGCACAGTCCCTCACGGTTTTCCTTGACTAGAGGAGGTACTTCCCCGACCCCTTGCGCTTCTATGCCTCACCCAAGGAGGTGCTTTGTAATCAGGCTTAGTTACTGACCAGCTGTGACCTGAACCTAAGTTTACTCATCTGATAAAAGAGATACCTACTTTATCTACCAGGTATCCACTTACTTGCTGTTCAGAATAAATGAACTTAATGAGATAAAGTGTCTCTTACAGGACTGGCACATGTTAGGAGCTCACCAAACGGTAGTGACTGGTTGTTATCATTGACAATTATAATATTTGTGATTTAGGTTGGAACTCAATTTATCCGTGGTGTGTCTGGAGGAGAAAGAAAAAGGACTAGTATAGGAATGGAGCTTATCACTGATCCTTCCATCTTGTTCTTGGACGAGCCTACAACAGGCTTAGACTCAAGCACAGCAAATGCTGTCCTTTTGCTCCTGAAAAGGTAAATGCTATGGGAACATTATCTTTAGTTAATATCTTATCACTACTATGTCCCAGATATTCTTGGTGCAGGGGGTTCAGAAATGATCAAAACAATTTCTTCCTCTTCTGTTGGAGGGAAAGTCAGTTGACAAGTGAAAAGCATTATCAAGAAAAACAAAGCAGGTAAGAGTGTAGGGAAGGATGGCTGTGGTGAGGGTGGGGGCAGGGTTGGGCCTGTTTTGTGCTCTCTTTAGCTTCTTAACACCAACAGACACACACATACACATTTTGTCTATCTCTCTGCTCTATAACACTGAACATTTTGTAGTTTTCTGAGTAGACCTTTTTATTTCACATCTTTTTCATCTTATTCTTCCACCTTCAGTGCTTTTTCTTCTTAACTTTCTCCTGTTGGGCCTTTTTTACTCTGTTTATATCATCTTCAGACTGGGTTGTGAGTCTCCCATTTTGCTTACAAGGAATCCTTAGCTTCTTCTGTTTCATATTGTACTGAAATTGTTGACCTACTAGCCTGATCCTCTTTGAGGCAAAATGTCTTTGTATACATGCTAGCATACAGTAGGTTCTTAGAAAATGTTAAAATTGAAATGACTCTTCACATAAAATATTTGGAATAGTAACAGTTTCTAACAGTGATTTTGGCCCTTCTTGTACCTGTGTATTGTTATTATAATTATTACAAATATTATTACAATTCAAGGTGAGATTTGGGTGGGGACACATATCATTCTACCCCGGTCCCTCCCTCCCAAATCTCATGTCCTCACATTTTGAAACCAATCATGCCTTCTCAAGAGTCTCCCAAAGTCTTAATTCATTTCAGCTTTAACTCAAAAGTTCACGATCTAAAGTTTCATCTGAGACAGGGTAAGTTCTGTCCACCTATGAGCCTGTAAAATCAAAAGCAAGTTAGTAACTTCCTAGATACAATAGGAGTACAGGCATTGGGTAAATACATCTGTTCCAGATGGGAGAAATTGGCCAAAATGAAGGGGCTACAGGTCCCATGTAAGTCCGAAATACAAAGGGGCAGTCAAATCTTAAAGCTCTGAAATTATCTTCTTTGATTCCACATCTCAAGTCACACTGATGCAAGAGGTGGGCTGCCAGGGCCTTGGGAGGCTCTGGCCTTGTGGATTTTCAGGGTACAGCCCCTCGTGTGGCTGCTTTCACAGGCTGATATTGAGTGTCTGTGGCTTTTCCAGATGCACAGTGCAAGCTGTTGGTGGATCTACCATTCTGGGGTCTTAAGCTATGATGGCCCTCTTCTCACTACTCCACTAGGCAGTGCCCCACTGGGGGCCCTGTGTAGGGGCTCCCACCCCACATTTCCCATCTGCACTGCCCTAGCAGAGGTTCTCCATGAGGGCTCCATCCCTGAAGTTGACTTCTCCCTGGACATCCAGGTGTTTCCATACATCCTCTGAAATCTAGGCGAAGGGCAGGCCTAACACTACATGGAAGCCACCAAAGCTTGGGTCTGGCACCCTCTGAAACAACAGCCTGAACTCTCTGTTGGTCCCCTTTAACCATGGCTGGAACATACGGCACCAAGTCTCGAGACTGCACAAAGCAGCAAGGCCCTGGGCCTGGCCCAGGAAACCATTTTTTCCTCCTATGCCTCTGGGCCTGTGATGGGTGGGGCTGCTGTAAAGACCTCTGACATGCCCTGGAGACATTTTCCCCATTATCTTGGTGGTTAACATTTGGCTCCTTATTACTTATGCAAATTTCTGTAGCAGGTTTGAATTTCTCCTCAGAAAATAGATTTTTTCTTTTTTATCACATCATCAGGCTGCAAATTTTCTGAGCTTTTGTGCTCTGCTTCTCTTTTAAACAAAAGTTCTAATTTCAAACCATATATTTGTGAGTGAATAAAACCGAATGCTTTTAACACACCCGAGTCACCTCTTGAATGCTTTGTTGCTTAGAAATTTCTTCTGCTAGATGCTCTAAGTCATCTCTCTCAAGTTCACAGCTCCACAAATCTCTAGGACAGGGGCAAAATGCCACCAATCTCTTTGCTAAAACATAGCAAGAGTCACCTTTATTCCAGTTCCCAACAAGTTCCTCATCTCCATCTGAGACCACCTCAACCTGGACTTGATTGTCCATATTACTATCAGCATTTTGGTCAAAGCCATTCAACAAGTCTCTAGGAGTTTCCAAATTTTCCCACATCTTCCTGTCTTCTTAGCCCTCCAAACTGTTCGAACCTCTGCCTGTTACTCAGTTCCAAAGTGGCTTCCAGAGTTTTGGGTATCTTACAGCAGCATCCTACTCTACCAGTACCAATTTACTGTATTAGTCTGTTCTCATGTCTGCTAAGTATGTCTGCTAATAAAGACATACCTGACACTGGATAATTTATAAAGGAAAGAAGTTTCATGGACTCACAGTTGCACATGGCTGGGGAGACCTCACAATTATGGCAGAAGGCAAAGAAGAAGCAAAGGCATGTTGTACATGGCGGCAGGCAAGAGAGCTTGTGCAGGGGATCTCCCATTTATAAAACCATCAGATCTCGTGAAACGTTTTCAGTACCATGAGAAGAGCATAGGGGAACCGCCCCCATGATTCAGTTATCTCCACCTGGCCCTGCCCTTGATACGTGGGGGTTGTTATAATTGAAGGTGAGATTTGAGTGGGCACACAGCCAAACCTTATCAACCTGTAAGTCAAAACTCCTGTGAAAAGGTAAGTTAGCACTATTTTGGCCATGGACTTAGACCAGAGATTAAATCCCAGCCTTGTCTCTTACTAACAGTGATCCCTTGGCCAGTTGCTTGATCCTTTAAGACATATTTATAAAATGAGGGTAATAATAATAATATTAGAACTGCCTCATAACAATACTGTGAAAATTGAAATGAAGTTATCTCTAAAGTATTTAGCAAAGACATAGTAAGTACTCAGTTATGTTAATTGCATTATTAGGGCAGAAGAGTGAAAACCAAGTTTTAAAGAGCCAGAAGACCTAAATGATAAGTCAGAATGAGATATATGACTGTTTTAATATGTAGTCCATGGTTAGTTCTCAAACTTGAAAATACTTGCAGATTACCTGGGTTGCTTCTTAAAATGCAGATTCCCTAGACCTACTCCCAGAGATTCTAATTCAATGTCTGGGAAGACTGTTCTAGAATCTGCATTTTTAATAACCATTCTAGTTGATTCTAGATTGTCAATGCAACATACTTTGAAAATTCCTATTCTGTTTTAATAAAAGCTTTGAATTTAGGTTTCCTAACTATAGGTAAATAATATGAGATGAAAAGTTAGCAAGACAAAGTCAAGTTGAACTAGAAGCAAACAATCTAAAGGCAAGAATAGAGTATGTTACCAAGAAGTACAAGTTTCAGATATTTAATGACTCATTATTGTCTCACTTTTAACCTAGGATGTCTAAGCAGGGACGAACAATCATCTTCTCCATTCATCAGCCTCGATATTCCATCTTCAAGTTGTTTGATAGTCTCACCTTATTGGCCTCAGGAAGACTTATGTTCCATGGACCTGCTCAGGAGGCCTTGGGATACTTTGAATCAGCTGGTATGGTTGACTTTTTTATGCTGTAAAACCCTTCATTAATAGAATCCTGAAGGAGAGCAAAGAGGGTGTGCAGGAGTGCTGTTTGGTCTTTGGGTAGACATATCATGAGAATCTGTCACTTCAAAATATGTTTGATCCATTTGGTGCTAGTATTTTTCTTCATTGTGCACCACAGCTTGTTATTTAGGTATCTTTCTTGTCTTATTTGAATGTGTATTCATGTGTGTATGAGTATTTCTGCTGGGCCTATATTCTGCTTCCTAGTTATAGTGACCATTTCTTAAAAGCTCAGTAATTAATATGTTGGCCCTTTAGCTAGTTATTCTGTCACTTGAACATTTTTGGAAAGGCCTAATATGGTTGTCTTCTTGACCATATAACAGATGAGGCCTTATAATTTTTTCCCCGTGCACATGATGTTGGTCTGCCCTGATGAGCACTCATGGAGATGCTACTTAATTGTATTTATTTTTATTTTTATTATTTTGAGATGGAATCTCGCTCTGTCATCCAGGCTGGAGTGCAGTGACGTGATCTTGGCTCACTGCAAGCTCCACCTCCTGAGTTCACACCGTTCTCCTGCCTCAGCCTCCTGAGTAGCTAGGACTACAGGCGCCTGCCACCACGCCGTGCTCATTGTTTTGTATTTTTTTAGTAGAGACGGGGTTTCACCATGTTAGCCAGGATGGTCTTGATCTCCTGACCTTGTGATCTGCCGCCTGGGCCGCCCAACGTGCTAGGATTATAGGTGTGAGCCACCGCGCCCAGCAAGTTTTGTTTTTTAAGGTTTGTTTGTTTTTTTCCTTTGAGATGGGATCTCACTCTGTCACCCAGGCTGGAGTGCAGTGGCACAATCTTGACTCACTGCTTGAGCCTCAACCCCCCGGGCTCAAGCCATCCTCCCACCTCAGCCCCCCAAGCAGCTGAGACTATAGGCACATGTCACCATAGCTAGCTAATTTTTGTATTTTTTGTAGAGTCGGGGTCTTGCCATGTTGCCCAGGATGGTCTCAAACTCCTGAGCTAAAGCAATCTGCCATGGCCTCCCAAAGTGCTGGGATTACAGGTGTGAGCCACTGTGCCCGGCAGACACTACTTAATTTTCTGGTAACTGTAGATTGCAACTTTAGCCCTTGAGTGGGTATTGGTCAATAGAGTGGTTAGTCCTAAACCTGACTTAGATGGACCAAAATTTCTAACAATCTTGGACTGCATGGTTCATTTTATTTTAAATTGAAATGTGTGATTTTTAAAATTTTAGATAGAAATGTGCGAGTTTTTTTTAATGGCTTGTGCGGTCTGCCTCATTTTAGAGATATTTGGATATGATTATAAATGATTCCCTATGATCCTAAATACAATTTTAGATATTCATTGACCATGTTTCTTAGTTTTTAAAAAAGGAGATTAACTAAGAGTCAGAGTTCAGGCCACACTGAGTTCAGATGATCTCATCATCTGAAGCTGAACGGTTCAGGTGTGCTGTGCTGGCCATGTTCTATCGAGAATACTGCTCAGGGGTTTTGTTCTCTATTCAGAATTATAGCAGCACAGCAGTTGATTTGGATTTCGGGATTAATTAATTAATTAATTTACTTTTGAGACAAGGTCTCACTCTGTTGCCCAGGCTGGAGTGCAGTGGTGCTTTCTGAGCTCACTGCAACCTCCGCCTCCCAGGTTCAAGCAATTCTTGTGCCTCAGCCTCCCTAGTAGCTGAGATTATAGTCATAAGCCAACACACCTGGCTAATTTTTGTGTTTTTAGTATAAATGGGGTTTTGCCATGTTGGCTAGGTTGGTCTCAAACTCCTGGGCTCAAGTGATTTGCCGGTCTCGGCCTCCCAAAGTGCTGGGATTGCAGATGTGAGCCACTGCACTCGGCCCTGGACCTCTGAATTTAGTATGTGGGGAAGCAGTCATTGCTGATGTGGGTTCCATCATTCTGGCATTCCCTAGGTGAACTAAGAGAGCAGAACACACGTGGGCTTTTGGTATTTTTTTCTTGGGTCTATGTTTAGATTTTTGAGGAAGTACTGTTAAGCACCAGAGCATACCAATAGCTATTTCAGGTCCCATGAATTACGATAGGTAAGGACCAAGCACTAATGCAAAATGCCCTGCAAATCCAAGGTTGGCTGGGAGTGTTTCCTTTTTCTTTTTCTTTTCCTTTTTCTTTTTTCTTCTTTTCTTTTCCTTTCCTTTTCTTTTCTTTTGTTTTTCGGCCCGGAGACAAAGAATTGCTGAAATATTGTGTGATAGGCTGGGCACAGTAGTTCATGCCTGTAATACCAGCACTTGCGGGTGGATCACTTGAGGCCAGGAGTTAGAGACCAGCCTCGAACTGGTCGAACATGGCGAAATCCTGTCTCTACTGAAAATACAAAAATTAGTTGGACGTGGTCATGCACGCTTCTAATCCCAGCTACTTGGGAGGCTGAGGCAGGAGAATCACTTGAAGTCGGGAGGCAGAGGTTTCAGTGAACCAAGATCCCCCACCACATTCCAGCCTGAGTGACAGAGGGAGACCCTGTCTCAAAAACAAACAAACAAACAAAAACCAAATATATATATAGTGTGATTGAATATATAAAAAGAAAGGGTAAAATTAGTGTGGGAAGAAGAGAGAAAGAAAGTTAGGGAGAAGTCGTTAGATTCTGTCTTCTCTAGCCTCACTTCCCTTGCCCTCTGAAAGTTACTTCTCTTTATTTTCCAAGACCATCAAGTTTGTGTTTTTGGGCTGCCTTCTTTCATAGGTTATCACTGTGAGGCCTATAATAACCCTGCGGACTTCTTCTTGGACATCATTAATGGAGATTCCACTGCTGTGGCATTAAACAGAGAAGAAGACTTTAAAGGTATATGAATCTGTTACAGTCCCAGATTTTTGCCTAATTGAATTGGCTGAAGTTTAACAACGTGGTGGCTAATTAAAATGTGACTTCGTGAATTTCTGTTAATGCAGTCTTCTGATATCAGTCAACACAAACATTTTGTTGTCTGTGAGTGCTGTTGGTGTTTTTGATTTAATTTATAAATGAGAATTTATATGGTGGTGTCAGTTCCAAGAGGAGTTAACATTTTTTAAAATGCTCACTGTTTATAAAGTGTTTTTAAAATAAGAAACTTGGCAATCTATGCATTTGCATATAGTAGGAAGCAACAACCAGATTTTTTTTTTTTTTTTTGAGACGGAATCTAGCTCTTGTTACTGAGGCTGGAGTGCAATGGTGCTATCTCGGCTCACTGCACCCTCTGCCTCCTGGGTTCAAGCCATTCTCCTGCCTCACCTTCCCGAGCAACTAGAATTACAGGCCTGTGCCACCACACCCAGCTAATTTTTGTATATTTAGTAGAGATGGAGTTTCACCATGTTGGCCAGGCTGGTTTCGAACTCCTGACCTCAAGTGATCCTCCCACCTTGGCCTCCCAAAGTGTTGGGAATACAGGCATGAGCCACCACCCCCGGCCACGACCGGAGTTTTATATTAAGAATTAGAACTCTATGGTAAGAAGTCTATTTTAAAAGAATTAAGGTCAAATAGGAAAACATCAGTGGGTTTGCTGTATTCAAAAGACTGGCAGGAGACAGCCTAGTTCTCTGTACTTTTCTTTTTATTTCTTTTTCTCTTTTTAAATATATATTTTAATTTATTACTTACTTTATTTATTTTTATAGAGACAGGGCCTCGTTTCATTGCTCAGGCTGGTGTTGAATTCCTGGCCTCGCATGATCCTACTGCCTCTGCCTTGCAAAATACTGGGATTACAGGAGTGAGCCACTGTACCTGACCTGTTATACTTTTCTAATGACAGAGCTCATAATTTTTTATTTCTATTTTTTCTTTTTTTGAAATGGAGTCTTGCTGTCTTGGACAGGCTGGGAGTGCAGTGGTGCGATCTCAGTTCACTGCAACCTCCACCTCCTGGGTTCAAGCGATTCTCTTGCCTCAGCCTCCTGAGTAGCTGGGATTACAGGCGCGCACCACTATGCCAGGCTAATTTTTTTTTGTATTTTTAGTAGAGATGGGGGTTTCCCCATATTGGTTAGGCTGGACTCGAACTCCTGACCTTATAATCCACCCACCTCAGCCTCCCAAAGTGCTGAGATTACAGGCATGAGCCACCGTGCCTGGCCTATTTTTTCTTTCTAAAGCTTTAGAATGAAGGTGTTAGGGAAGAATCCAAGAAAGGGGTCACAGAAAAAATGGGCTAAATTAGTTGTTATTTTGTTCATGTTTCCTTTTTATCCACTGATTGCAAAGCCACGGAGATCATAGAGCCTTCCAAGCGGGATAAGCCACTCATAGAGAAATTAGCCGAAATTTATGTCGACTCCTCCTTCTACAAAGAGACAAAAGCTGAATTACATCAACTTTCCGGGGGTGAGAAGAAGAAGAAGATCACAGTCTTCAAGGAGATCAGCTACACCACCTCCTTCTGTCATCAACTCAGATGGGTTTCCAAGCGTTCATTCAAAAACTTGCTGGGTAATCCCCAGGCCTCTATAGCTCAGGTAACCAGCAGATTCTTTTGAAATACTCAAATGGGAACCATGTGGTTCTGTTATCATCTGCTTCAGGATATGTTTATCTTCTACCCACCCTTCCAGTTATTTGTTATCTTCAGTCCACCTGGGATATAGAACCAGTCAGCAGAACAAATAAAGGACAATTAAGTTGTACGTTTGGAAAGCTTCTCTTTTTCTGAGACAGAGTCTTACTCTGTTGCCCAGGCTGGAGTGCAGTGGCATGAACTCAGCTCACTGCAGCCCTGACCTCCCTGGGCTCAAGTGATCCTCACACCTCAGCCTCCTGAATAGCTGGGACTACTACAGGCACATCACACCACATCCAGCTAATTTTTGTGTTTTGTGTAGAGACGGGGTTTCGCTGTGTTGCCTAGGCTGGTCTTGAACTCGTGGGTTCAAGTGATTCTTCTGTCTCAGTCTCCCACAATTCTAGGATTACAGGTGTGAGCCACCATATCTGGCCAGCTTCTTTTTTCTAGTGGTTTCTTAGACTACCCTAACTCAGAATTTTTGTGATTTAGACAAGCTGTAATGAATAATCTGAGGAGAAAAATGTTTTTTTTTGGGAAACTGTGAAAGAAATGTCAGCCATGTTTGGAGTTTTCTGGTAGCTGTTCACTTTAGTTCACTGGTTCATTCAACATGTTCTTGTAGGGCCTGTGCTGTGCTTTAGGGATGTGAATTCAGTAGTGAACAAAATGGGCAAAAATAAAACTCTGCTCATGGAGCTAATTTTCTGAGGAAGGCAGGTGTGATAAATAATAAATAAATTAAATAGATAGCATGTTAGATGGTAGAAGGAACTATGGGGAAGTTTAAGCAGAGAAGGGGTGGAGAGAGGGGAGGAAGAGAGAGAAGTAGGGAGAAGAAGGCTGATTTGCAGTTGGAATCAGGTGATCAGGGAAACCTTCACCTACTGTCACTGAATACACCTGAAGGGAGTATGTGCTGGCCACTCCAAGGGAAGAGCCTGTGTGCAAAGTGCTGTTCCTTATCATTGACCTTCCTTAGACAGTTTACAGGTGATACAAACATAGTAAGCAAATTTGAGTTCATAGAACAAGGCTATTCGTTTGTTAGATTAACTTTCTGTTAATCAAAATGAGATAATGTTTCTTTATTCTTTGGTTGGCTCTGTGATAGTTGGTGATTATTACTCCTTATGGTTTTTGTTATTCTTTTCTTTAAACATTTTTTTTTTTTTTTTTTTTTTTTTTTTAGAGACAGTCTCACTCTGTCACTCATGCTGGAGTGCAGTGGTACAATCATAGCTCACTGCAACCCCAAACTCTTGGCTCAAGCGATCCTCATACTTCAGCCTCCCGAGTAGCTGGGACTACAGGTGTACACAACACCTGGCTGATGTTTTGATTTTTTGTAGAAACTGGGTCTCACTATGTTGTCCTGGTCTGGATCTCCTGGGCTCAAGTGATCCTCCTACCTTGGCCTCCCGAAGTGCTGGGATCACAGGTGTGAACCACCGTGCCTGGCCTTTTCTGTTATTCTTAACCCCTCTGTCACCCAAAACATAAGTACTCCCAATTCATTGGTCCATTCTTCAAAGAAGTCAATTTAGCTGGTTAATTTGGGGCTGTTATTTTTATGAACAATATTGAGTTTCTGTTAAGTACTAAAAGATGGCACGTTGTTGGCTGTAGTAAAATATTACTGACATTTAAACTTGTGCATCATAATTTCCATACCTAAGTATATATATAAATATATCTAAGAGCTTGTATCCCTAGTTGAGTGATACTGCTAATTATGTGTGTGTGTATATATATATTATATGTGTGTGTATATATATTATGTGTGTATATACATATTATATATGTATATATGTATAGCCACATATATGTATGTATAGCCATACTGCTAATTAAGTGTATATATAAATATATCTAAGAGCTTGTATCCCTAGTTGAGCCATACTGCTAATTGCTCCAAATGTTTTTAGTACTTATAATTTGGTGTTTCTGTCAGAACATTGGGACTTTTACATACTATCAATTGAGGGTAAAATTTTATTCTTTGAGCATAGATTTGATATTATTTGGAAATCAGTCTGGTAGAATCAACCTGGGTTACTTATTGTCAACAGTGAAATGATGTAATGAATTGCTCTTTTGGTGTGATGTATGCATTAGATTTTTCTTACTTGGAAAATAACTTGAACTATCTTGCTTCAAAACATGGTTTATAAATGTCTTGTCCAAATCACCTATGTGGTAATTCTGGAGAGGGCATAATTGGAACATAGCTGTTTTTCACACACTGAGATTCTGCATGTTTTGATACTGGGCTTCCTTCCAATGCTAACACCTGGCCTAGTGCCTCCAGGTTTAGCTTCCCTGCCTCATCAGTGGACTCACTTTCACAAAAGGAATTCCAGCCACGTTCAGAGTAGTGGCAGTCTCTTAGATTAAGAATAGAACCTTGGATCTCCCTAAGCATCTGCTTAGCAGGACAAGTTTTGTTTAGATTTGTGAAAAACTGGAATATTATCTTAGGGCAGGAGTAGGCAAACTTTTTTTTTTTTTTTTGTAAAGGACCAGGTAGTAAATATTTTAGGCTTTGCAGACCAAGGGGTCTTTGTCTCTTTGTCTCAGGTAGTCAGCTCTGCCGTTTTAGTGTGAAAGCAGCCATAGCTAATAACATAAATAAACAAATATGGCAGTATTCCGATAATAAATGAAAGGCTGGCTAGGTGCAGTGGTTCATGCCTATAATCCCAGCACTTTGGGAGACCAAAGCAGAAGGATGCTTGAGGCCAAGAGTGTGAGAACAGCCTGGGCAATGAAAACAAGACCCTATCTTTTTTTTTTTTTTTTTTTTTTTTTGAGAGAGAGTCATGCTCTGTTGCCCAGGCTGGAATGCAGTGGTGTGGTGTCGGCTCACTGTAACCTCCGCCTCCTGGGTTCAAGCAATTCTCCTGCCTCAGCCTTCCAAGTAGCTGGGACTACAAGCACCTGCCACCATGCCAAGCTAATATTTTTATTTTTAGTAGAGACAGGATTACACTATGTTGGCCAGGCTGGCTTCGAACTCCTGACCTCCGGTGAGTCCACCCACTTTAGCCTCCCACAGTGCTGGGATTACAGGTATGAGTCACCGTGTCCAGCCAAGACCTCTTTAAAAAAAAAAAAAAAAGGTAACTTTCATTTTATTCCAATAAAACATTATACATGGGCACTGAAATTTGAATTTCATATAAATTTTATATTGTGAGAAATATTATTCTTTTTGACTTTTTATTCAACGATTAGTAAAATGAGCTAGGTGTGGTGGTGCATGTCTGTAGACCTAGCTACTCAAAAGGCTGAGGTGGAAGGATTGCTTGAGACCAGAAGTTTTGAGGCTTCAGTGAGCTATGATTACACCACTGCACTCCAGCCTGAGTGACAGAGTGAGACCTTGTCTCTAAAAAATAATAAAAAATAAAGTAAAAAACCATTCTTAGCTCGTGGGTGAACAAAGATAGGTGGCTGGCCCTATTTGATCTGTGGGCTGTAGCTTAATGATTCCTGATTTAAGGTTTATAATTTTGTATGTTTTAATTCAGAGTTCTTGAAAATTGAGTTGTTAAAATGCTTTATGATTCTCTGCTGATAAATCTTGTATCTGTTGCTTTACAGCTGCACTTTGGCTTGAACTAGTTATTTCTTTATATGATTCAAATTTGGCCTCTGATAATGCAGCTACCAAAGGTTGTATTTGGAAAATCTTAGCATGAATGCATTATCTGTATGAGAAGATTTCATGTTCATTTAAGGTGCCAAGTGTTTCCTGAACAGCTGAACTTGGAAGCAGATGGGGTCTGTGCACTCCATTGTGCATTGTTTAGTTTGTGTGTTTGTTTTCCTTTCTTTAATGCCAGAAAGAATAACACAGACACACCTTATAAAAGCATGCCAAGGTTACAGGATTGATTATTTTGTCAATATGTTTGAAAGCTGACTTTGAAAACATTTTTAGAACTTTGAAACTTTTAGGAAACATCTTAATCATAACACTCAGTGTTAGTATAAGATAACAAGTTTGAATGAAAACTTGACAAAGCCTGTGGAATGTTTAGTTTGAAAAGTCTGGGTTGGGCATGGTGGCTTATGCATGTAATCCCAGCGCTTCGGGAGGCCAAGGTGGGCGGATCATGAGGTCAGGAGTTTGAGACCAGCCTGGCCAACATAGTGAAACCCCATTTCTACTAAACGTACAAAAAATTAGCCGGGCTTGGTGGCTGGCACATGTAATCCTAGTTGCTGGGGAGGCTGAGGCAGGAGATTCGCTTGAACCCTGGAAGTGGAGGTTGCAGTGAGCCAAGATTGTGCCACTGCACTCCAGCTGGGGCAACAGTGCAAGACTCCATCTCAAAAAAAAAAAAAAAAAAATCCTGAATTGAATGTTCTTAAAAGTTTTACTATGTGAAAATATAGACTCTTGTATGCACATGCATGCATGCATGTGGATACAGTCATCTGCATTTATTTTGGAAGCTTGGTCTGTTGAAGTATATTCTGAGGGTAATGAAAATATGCCAGCATAATGGATTTCCCCCCAAAATTTCTAAGTGAATTTTAAAAGACATCTCATAAGTAGAAATATTGAAATAATGTTCTTTCCGTACTAGATTCTTCACAAACTAGTTATCACAGATCATGGTACTGTTTTTGCAGTTTGGTGTGCTTCATGCCAAAAGTGTCCTTGATCAGTGACTTTAAATCTTGATACCACTAGACTGTTGGAGTATTGAGATTTCGTTTTTTTAACTTTGATGATTCCAAGACATGGTAGGATATTTTGTCTTCTTTAGATTACCACTCCTTTTTTAAAATTTTTATTTATTTATCAATTTATTTTTTGAGACAGTCTCACTCTGTCACCCAGGCTGGAGTGCAGTGGTACGATCTTGGCTCACTGCAACCTCCACCTCTAGGGTTCAAGTGATTCTTGTTCCTCAGCCTCCTGAGTAGCTGGGACTACAGGCGTACACCACCATGCCTGGGTCATTTTTGTGTGTGTGTTTTTTTTTAGTAGAGACAGAGTCTCACCATGTTGCCCAGGCTGGTCTCAAGCTCCTGAGCTCAGGCAATCTGCCCCGTTGGCCTCCCAAAGTGCTGGGATTACAGGCATGAGCCACCATGCCCAGCCCATTTCTTGTTTTTTAATATTTAACTCATGAGTAAATATAAGTAGGATTTTCTCAAATAAATTATTTGATAACATAACCCTTAACCCTTTGCTTATTGAAGTGTCCTTAAGAGATGCTTTGTCCTAGAAACAAGAGTGATGTTTGTCCAATCTCCTTAGGAGCTATAGAAATCTACTGAGTGGTGAAGAATGGTGAGAACGGCAAAGAATTGGCAGCTTAGGTCTGCAGCATTGGCTATAGGCCTCACTGGCTGAAGCGATGAGGAAGCAGTGACAGGAGATGGGTAGTGGAAGCATGCAGAGTGTGTACAGAGAAAGCTGGCCGAATGCTTTGCTGACAGTGACAATGCACTTTTCCAGTGCAGGCGTGGACTCCCTAGAGGTTGGATAGGCGGGCTCCATCTCACCCCTCTTTCCTCACTGTGCAAAATTCCATTGTTAGAATTTTTTTAATGTGTGCTTCAAAATTTCTATTTATTTTTAATGTTAAGAATAAAGATATCCTGTTTTCACTTTAACCTCTTGAAATATAAAATGACTCATGTTCGTTGGCACAAAGGTTGAGAGTTCAGTTCAGGGTCAAAACTCTTAGGCACCTGGACTTTGCTTTGCTGAGTCTTGCATTGCTCTGCTACCCTGTGTGGTATTCACAAGCTCAGTAACCCGAAGCAGACCCTGAACTGACTGCCGGGTGGTACAATGGGAGGAAGCCCAGCTCTTCCAGTAGTGTGCTTTGTGTCCTACCAGTCTCCCCAAACCACAGATAACTTAATTTTTAACTTAGGAAGCAGTCTAAATAACATATGCTGTTTTATTTTCTCCCAGGGACATTGGTCAAGTCATTGAGTGTTTATCTTAATGGCGAGATCTGATTATGTAACCATATATATTATACTAATAAATTGTGTGTGTAAGTTTTTATCTCTAATTGAAACTTTCCTTTTTTTTTTTTTGCATTTTTCTTTTTGAAAAGATCATTGTCACAGTCATACTGGGACTGGTTATAGGTGCCATTTACTTTGGGCTAAACAATGATTCTACTGGAATCCAGAACAGGTAAGTAAATGTTTGGATCTTGATTTTAAGAAAGTGCTGTTACTTTTTTCAATCTTACGAAAATCCATTAAGAATTTGAGTTTAAGACAAGTATAGTGTAAATGTCATTCTTTTATTGAGGGTAGGATGAATCAGTTTATTTTTGAGACAGAGTCATGCTCTGTTGCCCAGGCTGGAGTGCACTGGCGCAATCTCAGCCCACTGCAATCTCCACCCACCGGGTTCAAGCAATTCTCCTGCCTCAGCCTCCCGCGTAGCTGGGACTACAGGCGCCCACCACCATGCCCAGCTAATTTTTGTATTTTTAGTAGAGACGGGGTCGCACCATGTTGGCCAGGCTGGCTTTGAACTCCTGACCTCAGGTGGGTCCGCCCACCTTGAGCTCCCAAAGTGCTGGAATTACAGGCACGAGCCACTCCACCTGGCCCAATTATTTTTAAATATACCATTCAGTGGCATTAAGTACATTTACATTGTTGTGCAACTATCACCACCATCGAGCTCTAGAATTCTTTTCATCTTCTCAAATGGAGTATCTGTACCCATTAAGCAATAACTTCCCATCTCACATCTGCCTCTCCTAACCCCTGGCAGTCATCATTCTACTTTCTGTCTCTGAACCTGACTACTCTAAGACCCTCACATAAGTGGAATCATACAGTGGATGTTCATTGGTAACTGGCTTATTTCCTTTAGCATGTTGTCTTTATGGCTCATTCATGTGGCGTGTGTCAGATTTCTTTCCTTTGTAAGGTTGAATAATATTCCATTGTATGTGCATACCACATTTTGTTTTTCCATTCATCTATTGATGGAAACTTGGGTTGCTTTCACCTTTTGGCTGTTGTAAACAGTGCTCCCTAGGCGCACAGAGATCTCTTTCAGCCAGGTGTGGTGGCATGTGTCTGTAGTCCCAGCTACTTGGGAGACTGAGGTGGAAGGATTGCTTGAGCCCAGGAGTTCTAGGCTGCAGTGAGCCATGAGCTATGATTGCACCACTGCAGTCCAGCCTGGGGTGACAGAGTTCGACCCTGTCTCTTAAAAAAACAAACAACCCCCCCCCCAAAAAAAACTATTTTAGTTCCTGCTTTCAGTTATTCAGATATATACCCAGAATTAGAATTTCTGGGTCATATAATCATTCTGTTAATTTTTCTGAGGAACTACTGTACTGTCTTCCACAGTGGCCGTACCATTTTACATTCTTACCAGCAGTGCACAAGAGTTCCAGTCTCTCCATGTCCTTACCAACACTTTTCTTTTTCTCCCTTTTAAACAGTAGAGACCCACTGGATCTTCGGAGAAATGTCTATTCAAGTCCTTTGCCCATTTTAAAATGGAATTGTTTGTTTTTTTGTTGTCGAGTTGTAGGAGTGCTTTATAGTTTTGAGGAGATACTAATCCCTTATCAGATACATGATTTGCAGATATTTTTCCCCACTCCCTGGGTTGTCTTTTCAGTGTTGACAGTGTCCTTCGATGCATAAACATTTTTAATTTTGATGTAGTCCAGTTGATCTGTTTCTTCTTTTGTTGCCTGTGGACTAATATCTGTCACTTTTTTAATGTATGTGTTTGACTTAGGGGTATGGTGGGGGTGGGACTCAGCTTTTCCTGTTACATGGTTAGCACTTTTGTTAGTGTTGTGATCCTTACCTAGTTTCAGTCACAATGGGCTCTTTAAAACCTCATTTTATGAGGAGACTTTTTATTGATATGTTGCGTTCTGAACGTAAGCACTTAGGAATTTCACAGCCCTCAGAGTTCTGGTTATTTCATGTATGGAGAACACTTGTGGCAGATACTGTGCTCCGTAGTGCTTGCTGTCCATAGTCTCAGGTTACCAGCACGTGATTTAGAGGAGGTGGATGGTAGCATCCCCATTTTACTATTTTGATGTCTGGAAAAGGCTGATTGTTTTTTAAAGAATAAGCATAAAAGTTGATTCATCACTCAAGTAAAATGAATTATTTTGTACGGAATCAGATAGTGTCACTCTACAACGAGACTATTATTAAACAGCAGTTTACCAGAGTGATGTCACTGTTCATGCTTTTCCTTTTTCTGAGGCCTGAGGTATCTGGATTATTTCCAGACTTGCTAGTAGTTGACGGTTTGTGTCCCATGTCGATGCCATTTCTTAACCCAGCACAGAATATATCAGAGGATCTAAAGGCTGTGGGCCTTTTATATTGTGCAGGAGGAAGCATTTGGAAAGGACATGGAGTACATGGAGTAACCTGGTCCTCAACTGGAACTTTAAAGAGGACTGAAAATCTGGCCATTAAAGCTCTTGGTAGAAAAATCCAGAGAAATAAAGAAAAACTTCAGGTGTTTCTTCAGATGTTTTCTGGAGAAATAAGGCATTCATCTTATTGTAATTTGTTTGTTTTTGAAACAGAATCTCACAATATTGCCCAGGCTGGTGTGCAGTAGTGCAGTCATAGCTCACTGCAGCTTTGAACTCCTGGGCTCATAATTTGTATTTTTGACTTAAGCTTGCTATCATTTTTTTCCCAAAGCTCTAGGGTACATGTGCAGGATGTGCAGGTTTGTTACATAGCTAAATGTGTGCCATGGTGGTTTGCTATACCTATCAATCCATCACCTTGGTGTTAAGCCCAGTATGCATTAGCTATTTTTCCTGATGTTCTTCCTCCCACGGCCTCCCATTGACCCCACTATCGTTTTTTAAATAAGCATTTGGACTACATTAAAGTGGCCTGTGTGTATGATTTAATCCCTCCTGGGATGATTAATGATTTATTGATTAGGAAAAAATGTTTCAGCATCATCTCTGGAAACAGGTTCTCAAAGTTTTGTTCAGGGGTGAATATTAGTACTTCATAATTTAAAACTGCTTGGAGGCCAGTGGTTTAGTTCTCTTCTTTGGGGATGAATTCTCTGAGAGAGGAAAGCACTCTCTGCTCTTTCTCTAACCTGTGTGACTGAGAAACTGGGTTTTAATCATAGGTAGAGTATGAGCATCTTTGCATTAATAGCTGCCTCTGGAATAACTGCTTTACAGAGTTGTGGTGATAGCTAAACAAATCAGTGTATATTAAGGGAAAAGATATACTTTAAAAATAGTATTTGGATCCAGTCATCTCACTTCTAGATATTTACCCCAAAGATGTGAAAGCAGTTTGTCGAAGAAATTTCTGCACCCTCATATTTATTACAGCATTGTTCACAATAGCCAAGATACGGAATCAGCCTAAGGGTCTGATGTGATAAAGAAAACGTGGTATATATACACAAGGGAAAACAAAAGAAATTTTGTCATTTGCAATAACATGGATGGAACTGGAGAATATTAAGCCAAGTGAAATTAGCCAGACACAGAAAGCTAAGCACAGAAGTGTCACAGAATCTCATTTAACATGGAATCTGAAACAATGGAAGTGAAAGAGACAGTAGAATGGTGGTTACCAGAGGCTGGAGGGGTGTGGGGAATGGAGAGATGATGGTCAAAAGGGGCAAGACCTCAGCTACACAGGAGGAATAAGGATTTTTCTTTGGAGATAACATTGCACGATGTGGTGAACACAGTAAATAATAACATAAATTTCAGAATAACTAAATTTTAAGATACTTTTACCACAAAAAATAAAGGTTTGAGGCAATGGATGTGATAATTAGCTTGATTTAATTATTTCACACTTATGATTCATGAATCATATCACTTGGTACCCCACAAATATATACAACCATAATATGCCAATTTATAATTTAAAAATCAAAATAAAAATATTCAGACCAATAAGTAGATATAACAGATATGGATTACTACCTTGAAAGAATTAGAATGAATTTTCTTCCTTAATAAGAAAAAGCTGTGTTTAAAATAAATTTTCTTAGGATTTTGAAGGAATGTTTCCATTGTCTACTTTTTCAGAATCATTATGATCATTACTGTACTGATAGATACAGGACAACAAATTGAATTGAATCTTTGCTATGTTCCATGTTCTGAAATTAGCTTTTTACTTGATATTAGGTTTATTTGTGTGCAGAAAGTGAGATTACTGCATGTCTACCAGGCCTGGCTATTTTTCATTCATTTTAATTATATGTAAATACTTTTAAAACTGTTCTGTCTGGGCACCATGGCTTACGCTTGTAACTGCAGTGCTTTGGGAGGCCAAGGTGGGAGGATTGCTTGAGGCCAGGAGTTCAACTCAGTTGCAGTGAGTTTATGATCATGCCACTATACTCTAGCCTGGGTGACTGAGGGCAACTCTGTCTCTAAAAATAAAATAAAACAAAAAAGACCCTAGCCTGTTCCCTTAGATCTTTGTTCTTTAGGTATCTATGGACTCTTTTTTTTTTTTCTTTCAGTGTAATTGTGTTATTCACTTGGGTTTGCAGTTTTAAAAATGTTCTCTTCCTTTTACGCCATTTAAATGATGTGTCACTTACCTCTTTTTCAGTTTCAACTCACACCTTCACTGTCAATTATATCGTTTTGTTATGGTGTTTCAGGGATGTTGGCATGCCTTCATAAAATTCATATTTGTATCAAAGTGTAGATTAACTTAGCATTTTCCTTTTTATTTATTTATTTATTTTTTTTGAGACAGTGTCTCGCTTTGTTGCCCAGGCTGGAGTGCAGTGGTGCAATCTCAGCTCACTGCAACCTCCACGTCCCAGGTTCAAGCGATTCTCCTGCCTCAGCCTCCTGAGTAGCTGGGACTACAGGCACCCGCCAACACGCCTGGCTAATTTTTGTATTTTTAGTAGAGACAGGGTTTCACCATGTTGGTTAGGCTGGTCTTGAACTCATGACCTCGTGATCCTCCTGCCTCAGCCTCCCAAAGTGCTGGGATTACAGGCATGAGCCACCACACCCGGCCAACATTTTCCTTTTTAAATCTCAATTACTTCACTGAGAAACAAGCACTAATAGTGTTCCTTTTTATTACGACACACAAATTAGATTTTTCTTTATCAGTAAGTGCCACTTGGTTTCCTCTGAGCACTCTGGAAACCTCATAGACTGCTGGCTGTCTTAGCATGTCAAGGATAATGTCACGGCCCTGCTGATGGTGGTGTGGTGCATGTAGATTATGCGTATAATAAGGGGTTGATTGAGGGTTCCCTTCACTGTCTTTCATTTTGCTTCCACATGACTTACATTCTTTGTTCAACTTTAAAATCAAAGTGACTAATTGAATATCTTAATCTTTGCAGACTTTATTTAGCTTACCACTTTTCTGTTTGTACATTAGGAATGGTACTTGGCATTTTTGTTAGTTAAAATTATGTGTTGGCCTGGTTGCCATACCAAAATACCGTAAAGCAAGTGGCTTAAACAATAGAAAGGTATTTTCTCTCAGTTCTAGTCTGAAAGTCTGAGATCAGGATGCCAGCATTGCTGGGTTCTGGTGAGGGCCCTCTTCCTGGCTTGCAGACCTGCCTTCTTGCTGTTCCTTGTGTGGCAGAGCAGCTGGTGTCTCTTCCTATTAGGACGCTGTTCCCATTACACTCTCCCCACCTCCCTATCCTGGAACCTCATCTGAACCTAATTACTTTCCAAAGGACCCATCTTCAAATACCATCACATTGGGGGTTGGGGCTTCAACATATGAATTTTGGTGGGAGGAGATGCAATTTAGTCCACAACAATCCAAGACTGTGAATTTCAAAATGAGCTATAATATGTAGTCCCATGGGTACCACTGTGGAGACATAAGAGATGGGGAGAGGCTTGATGGGGTTCACGCTTCCCTGTTTTAACCAGAACAGTTTCCCTTTTTTCCTGCCTAACTTTATACACTGTCATTTATGAAAGAGTTTTGTGGGTAGAAAATCTATCTAAGAATGCTGAGTTGACTGTGGTGCTTTGGTTCCCCTTTTCATGGCAGAGCCGGGGTTCTCTTCTTTCTGACGACCAACCAGTGTTTCAGCAGCGTGTCGGCCGTGGAACTCTTTGTGGTAGAGAAGAAGCTCTTCATGTGAGTAGGTCTTTGTTCTGGGAACAGGGCTGTCCAGCCGCAGGGGCTGTTGGTTAGACTGATCACATCTGGAGTTGGGGGCCAAGGATGGGATCCTGAGGATTACCAGTATTTTTTTAAAATTTATTTTTAAATTGATGAATAAAAATTGTGTATATTGATCATGTGCAACATGATGTTTTGAAAATATGTATAGGGATTACCAATATTAATTGAGAAAAAGCAGCCAGGGATAGGGAAGAAAATCCTGAGCCTTTGGGACCTGATATCCAGAGAAAAGAGTTTTTCTAGATTTGAGTACGGTCAGAAAATCCAAATGTTGGAGAAAGCAAGCAATAAAGGGACTGAAAAGTATCTTTTGTTTTTAGTAAATACTGATGACCTTCACAAGAAAAGTTTGAGGGGCTTGGTAGAGATTAAGCAGCAACTTGGAAGTGGGGAGATTAAGTTGACAAAGAATGTGACCATGCTTAGCCCTCAGTGGACCAGGGAAGTGGCATGAGCCATTAGAAGGCATTTTTACAGTAAAGAGCAGACTGGTTTAATTTCTTGTATTATTTCCCCCCCCCCCTTTTTTTTTTGTTTTTTGAAACAGGGTCTTGCTTTGTCGCCCAGGCTGGAGTCCAGAGACATGATCATGGCTCATTGCTGTGTTGGCCTGCGGGGCTTATGCAGTCTTCCCACCTCAGCCTCCTGAATAACTGGCATGCCTAGCAATTTTTTTTTTTTTTTTTTTTTTTTTTGAGATTGAGTTTTGCTCTGTCTCCTAGGCTGGAGTGCAATGGTGCGATCTTGGCTCACTGCAACCTCCGCCTCCCAGGTTCAAGCAATTCTCCTGCCTCAGCCTCCCAAGTACCTGGGATTACAGACACCCGCCACCACATCCAGCTAATTTTTTTGTATTTTTAGTAGGGACGGGGTTTTGCCATGTTGGCCAGGCTGGGTTCAAACTCCTGACCTCAGGTGATCCACCTGCCTTGGCCTCCGAAAGCACTGGGATTACAGGTGTGAGCCACTGAACTGGGCCTCCTGGCTATTTTTTTTTTTTTTTTTTAATTTTTTGTAGAGACAAAGTCTCACTATGTTTCCCAGGCTGGGTATTTTTCAAGGATGGATCACATTTGCCCAAATGTACATGTCGCATGTAAGAATTATTAGAAAGGGAAAGCATGAAGGAGGTGGAAGAGTTTGGAATTGTGGGAGAAAGATGTCAGGAAGAGGAAAGATTACAATTTGATAGTTGACAGGGATGTATGGCTGGAAGACATGATCATTGAAAGAAGGTCTTTTTCGGGTGGGCACGGTGCTTCACGCCTGTAATCCCAGCGCTTTGGGAGGCTGAGGCGGGCGGATCACAAGGTCAGAGTTTGAGACCAGCCTGGCCAACTTGGTGAAACCCCGTCTCCACTAAAAAAATACAAAAATTTAGCCAGACATAGTGGCTTGCTCCTGTAATCCCAGCTACTCAGGAGGCTGAGGCAGGAGAATTGCTTGAACCCAGAAGGCGGAGGTTGCAGTGAGCCGAGATTGCACCACTGCACTCCAGCCTGGGCAAAAGAGCAAGACTCCATCTCAAAAAAAAAAAAAAAAAAAAAAAGGAGAGAGAAGGAAGGTCTTTTTCTTTTTTTAACTTGAGAGTAGAAGAGGTAAGAAGAGCTTAGTGATCTGAAGCTGCACTGGGGGACTTGGAGAATAACAGGCCACCCTCCTAACCAGAAATAGGGAAAAAGAAAAGCTTCTATTCCTACCAAAATCAGCTACTGAAGTGCTGTTCTTCAAGGAAAGCCAGCATTGAAGAAGGAAAAGCATTCTTTGAAGAGAGGGAGGATATGTGGAATCTGTTCCCCTGGACTGAGTGTTCAGGAGCTAGAAAGAGCAATAGGAGGGAATTGTGTCATGAGAAGAGGGGCTGTGCACAGAGCTTCATGGGATGCTGTCCCAGGCAGGCTGGCACCCAAGGTGTTCATGGGCATGCATAGTGGGTCTAGCTCTGATGATGTGGGAAACTGGCTTGTTTCACCCCTGCTGTCAGCACAGGTCTATAACAGGCAGTCTAGCCTGCTCTGTGGCTTCTTAAACTAATCTGGGATGTATGATACGTATTTTTGTTCTGTAGACATGAATACATCAGCGGATACTACAGAGTGTCATCTTATTTTTTTGGAAAACTGTTATCTGATTTATTACCCATGAGGATGTTACCAAGTATTATATTTACCTGTATAGTGTACTTCATGTTAGGTAAGTAAGTAACAAAACAAAAAAGGACATGTCTTTAGTCTTGCCTATGGGTGAAATCAGTTGTGCCTCGCAAGCATGTTTTTGGTTCTCAAAACTTTATATAAACCAAACCATGAGAAAAGGAAACGCTTGTCCATTTTGCGCTCTCTGAAATAGTTGTTCACTGTCAACTATTTTTGTCAAGACTGTTTCCCAACTGAACTTTTTTGTTTGTTTGCTTTGTTTTGTTTTTTTGAGACAGGGTCTTGCTCTGTCACCCAGGCTGGAGTGCGGTGGTGATCATATCTCACAGCAGCCTCAACCTCCTGGGCTCCAGTGATCCTCCTACCTCAGCCTCTGAGTAGATAGGACTACAGGCACACATAAAGATGGAGTTTTTGGTAAAGATAGGGTCTCACTGTGTTGCCCAGGCTGGTCTTACACTCCTGGCCTCAAGTAGTCCTCCTACCTCAACCTCCCAAAGTGCTGGCATTACAGGAATGAGCTGACGTGCCCAGCCTGAACTTGTAAAACCACTTATAAAACTATACTTTACTGAGAGATGCTTGTGTTATACACAAACATGGAAAGAATTTATAAAACTTTGAGACTATGCTGGAGAAGCTGGGATATTTATAGCCTATCTATGTTTTTTTTCTCTCTCTCTCTTTCTCTCTCTCTCTGTCTCTCTCTCTCTCTATATATATATATATACACACACACACACACACTCTTAGAGATATATAGAATGATTAAATATATTTAATCTCTTAGAGATATATGGAATGATTAAATATATATATGTATTTATTTAATATATATTCTCCATCCCTGCTTCTTTAATGAGAGAAAGACAGTGACTTTTGGGACTTGTTAATTAAAAAAAAATAGTTGTTTGATAGATGTGGAGATTCATTTGTGCATTATGCTCAGGCTTCACTCCAGGCTCCTTGCATCTGATTTCCATATATTTCACTGATACATGCACACACACACACACAACCCCCAGAAATATCTATTTTGACACTACAAGATAAGAACTACTGATTGAGCTTAAACCTTCCATTTGACAAATAATAGGTGTGTCCTAAACAATCAGGGTTAGGATCTAGATCTCCAGACTCCTGATTGGTGTTCTTGTGGCTGTTTCAAATCTTCAGATTGTATGACCTACAGGATTAGCTCACTACAGTTTAGAAAGCAGTTTATGAAACTTAATTTAGTCCCATTTCAATCCAGAGTGATGTGGTAATCTGTCTAGGGAGGCTTGGGTTATGGAGGCCCCCTACTCCTCCCCCAGACACTACAACCATTGTGAGGTCATGCCATCCCGATCGTCCCAGTCCCTTCACTCACACAGTTACAGCACACAATGAGTAATGTGGGGACGTATGGGCAAATGAATGTGCTATTGATGAGTTTCCTGTGAAAAGAGAAGGCAGTTGAATTTTGGCTGGTTGTACTTCAGGAACTCAGAAATTGTTCATAATTATACATAATGGCACATAAGTGTTATAAGGACCAGTGCTTATGCAGTTCTGTGAGAACTTCATGCACTTACATGGACGGAAACAACGCTGGAGACCCAGGGTGGTTGGAGAGTGGATGACTTTTTTTCATTCTGATTACTAGTTTCTCAAAATATTAGTCTTAAATTTGCACAATAAGCAATCCCAAACATATGGTGACCTAGGCAGTTGGGTTAACTACTTCTTCTCTTTCTGACTAAGGATTGAAGCCAACGGCAGACGCCTTCTTCATTATGATGTTTACCCTTATGATGGTGGCTTATTCGGCCAGTTCCATGGCACTGGCCATAGCAGCAGGTCAGAGTGTGGTTTCCGTAGCAACACTTCTCATGACCATCTGTTTTGTGTTTATGATGGTGAGTCTGAACTGTGTTTCCTCTGAGAAGGAATTGTTTTTTTCCTTCATTTCTTCCTGCACATTCACTTGTCATGTGAAACCTGTTTTGAGGATTCTGTAAATGGGACTCTGCTTCAAGGCCATCTACTGAAATAGATTATGTTAGAGAATGTACTAACTTTCCTCTTTGCCCTTATCCAACCTTTTTTGCTACGTTCTAATGTAGTTCCAATAATTTTAGTTAATATTGTTACTAATGAGCTTTTAAAAAGTGTTTCTTGGTGATATATTATGAAACCTTAATAAATTGGAATTTCAAAAACCAGAAAACATTTGATCGGCAGATTCTCTTGAGAATGACGGATTATTTGCCTGACTTTCATGCTGGTGTTAGAGAACTGCTAGCTTATTTTTTTTTTTACATTTTTAATTTCTGTTTTAAAAGTTCCCACATACAACATTGAACTGCTAGCTTGTATACCCACCAGCAGAGATGGTTTGGTTGGATTTATAATACTGTTTTCCAAGACACATGTGAAGCCTCATAAGAAGCAGAACAGAGTATGGTGTGAGCGGTCTATTTTGGTTCCCTCTTGTATTTTGAAAAAGAGTGTTTTAAAAATATTGGAAAATTGGAGCGTTCACACACTACTAAGTACCTCTTTTCTGGGTTTTGTTCCTGACATTCAATATGTTTCTGCTTATCTTTTTTTTTTTAATGGTTACTTAATTCTAATCTTACATGCCCCTAAATTTTGCACTTAGAGGAATCAACAGTTGAACGAAACCAGTTACATTTTTTCCCCTTCAACATCATACTTGACAGGAACATGTCGTGTCTGCTAGAGTAGGAGTAGATGTCTTTAAATAAAAATAATTAGCACAAACTCTTGCCAGAGTTTAATTCTTCCGTTTCTGGACTTGAAAACTACCAATGCAAACATTAATGAGGAAGTGATAAGGCTTGTTTATATTTCCCATACTGTCATCCAGCAAATACAAATGTTTTGGTTGATTTATTGTTTTTTAAGGATTTCTACACAGAACATTAAAAACTAGTCATAAAACTGTATTTTACTCAGAGATGGCTGTGTTATATGCTAAGCACTTGGTCAGGTCAAGTCTGAATATATATAGTCATACCAGCAACATCATCATTGTTATGCATATACCGGTATGCTTGTAGTGGCAATTAGTTCTCTTGTCAATCTTCAGCAGGTCTTCCTGGCATCTCCATTGTGCTACTACTTTTTGACGGCTTTAAATGATAGCACTAATCCTGTTTATACTCTGCCTCTTGCCACATTATACTCTGTATCAGTTCTAGACTTTGGGTTATGTTAAGCCTTCATTCACAACCTCATATCCTTGCTAAAGTCATAGGGATATAGACTGCAAACCTTTGTAAATAACAAATCTTATGTGAAGTGTGGTGGGCGTGTGATGCTCAGGGTTGATCTGGTATAGGTTCTTCCAATGCCAGGTGTATTGGTGAGCACACATAGTGGTTGTGTCGTTACAATAGTCAGTGCTTCTTGACCTTCCATTGCGTGCAGTTACAAATAAAGTTGAGTACGTAGTCTTGACAATTGAAGATCTTCCGATTAAATGGAATATTTAATATGTATTAGATATTTTGTTCTTCCTTTAAAACCATAAATGACTTCAGCTATATAGAGATGTGCACATGCAGAGGAGAAGAGTTTAGTGAGTGTCTAGAGTAAGTGGAAAGAACTTCAAGAAAGAGTTGGTTTTAAAAGAAATACTTACAAAGTGGTAGGGACTTGAAGAGGGTATTCTCTAGAATTCTGCATGAAATTACTCAAGCAGTCCTGACTCTTAGTATTTGCTTTTTGTAGATTTTTTCGGGTCTGTTGGTCAATCTCACAACCATTGCATCTTGGCTGTCATGGCTTCAGTACTTCAGCATTCCACGATATGGATTTACGGTAGGTCTTCCTTGTCCGTCGTTGTGACTGCGTTCCCAAGCTAGGAACAATGGAAATCGAGCTTCCTATTCTCATTGCCCTGACCATGAGCTGTGAAAGTCTCCCATCCAGAAACCTTTTAGGAGCAAGGAATGAGAATTTCCTGTTAGCCTTGGTTAACACATGGCCGGGGAGTCATTTGCTATTTTCCTCAGTCATCCTTTAAAGGGCTGTGAGTGGGGAGATACCTCCTAGTAAAGGAGAAAGATTGACTAATTGATGAAAAACATATTGTTGTGTTTCAGTTCAATAAGGAAATAAATGAGAGATGGGAGACTAGAATACATATGTTTATAATGAAAGGAAAATTAGAAGAACAAAGACCATATAATAAGCATAGTCATATTGACTTTTGCAAGCTCACTAACTCCAAAGTAAATTGTCTGTGTCTTAGTATAGTATAACCAAGCTTCTAACTTCCAGAAATTACAACTGGTTCTAATGAAAACAAACAAGAACAAAAGATTGTCACTGTAAATTAACAATATTCATTGAGCACCACTGTATCGTTTTAATTAGAATGTTTATGGAGTTACAAAATTCGGGAGAGAAGGAGGAAGGAGCTACGGTGTAATATAGCCAGAGGTCTCCCGCTTTGGCCAAATACTTTACTTCTTTTGTATTGGAAGCCAAAATTCCAGCCCTAGGCTTCTTGATTGCCAGGGAAAATAACATTAGTTGGTTTAGTGAGACAAAGACTGTGAATATGTTTTCAGAAATAACAATAAAGATTAAACTCAGAGGGCATGATTGTGATAACTCTTTGGAAACTTCTTGAAATTTAAAACTGTTTACCTTGCCCTGCTCCCGCTTGTGTTATAGGCTTTGCAGCATAATGAATTTTTGGGACAAAACTTCTGCCCAGGACTCAATGCAACAGTAAACAATACTTGTAACTATGCAACGTAAGTTTGTGTTCAGTGTCAAAATGGGTGTTGTTACTACCATGGTGTGATGTAGAAAGGCCACTGGGCTTAGATCTGTATGAGTCCTTCCAGGGGTACTGAACTTTTCCGAGCCTACGTTTTCACATCCATAAAGTGAGTTGTGCGTGAATGCACGTGAACATGCGACACAACCCCTCAGTATTCTGCTGCTGTAAAAATTGTCTTTAACGTGCAGCAATGTTTCCTATGTTTGTTTCTTATTGTTTGTTTTGGGCCTTTTAAAAGATCCTTTTGATATTTCGATTGTGGGTTTGAATTCTTGGTTTTCAGAGCATTTGAGATTGAAGTTTTGATATTTTATCAAGGGCTTATGGTCACTGAACTGTATGGATTCTATGAAATCTATGGGTCCATGAGCTCACGGATACTTCTGAGCCCAACCCATGGACAGTAGTAAGAATGAAATAGGCAGCAATAGCACAAAGAAAGTGAACATTTCTCTGCCAAGATCCTGGCACTTCCACTGCCTCATGCATTTGGAAGACATCATGAAATTAAAGGCCGCATAGTCATATGGTATTGTTTTAAATTAACTTGAAATATTCCCTATCAATCAATTTATCCTCTAAAAAAACAAGAAACACTTGAGTAAGTTGAGGAAAAAAACCATTTTCACATAATGTTAAAATAGATTCTAATAACACTAGATAATATTGTTTTAAGAATTTAGTAACACTTTCCTTTTCTATGATTGCTAATGGTTTGATTTTGATACATAAATTAATGAGAGAAAAGAGAATGTTGATATGATCCTAAATCTCCTGAATGTTCAAGTAGAATATAAATAATTCTTAATAACAGGACAAATTACTCTTTTCAGTTATTCACAGGAAATCCTCTATACACAGAGGTTTTCTTTATTCTGTCCCTCTCTTTTGGCTTGATCAGGGTGGCCAGGATGAAGTGGATGGGAAAAGTGGGACCAGATAAGGAGGAGCCACCATGGGCTTCATGTAAGGGAAGATGAGGCTTCATCCTCAGAAGGCAAAGGAGGAAGCTATTCCTTTTTTTTTTTTTGAAACGGAGTCTCACTCTGTCGCCAAGACTGTAGTACAGTGGCACAATCTCCGCTCACTGTAAGCTCCGCCTCCGGGGTTCACGCCATTCTCCTGCTTCAGCCTCCCGAGTAGCTGGGACTACAGGTGCCCGCCACCGCGCCCGGCTAATTTTTTGTATTTTTAGTAGAGACGGGGTTTCACCGTGTTAGCAAGGATGGTCTCAATCTCCTGACCTCGTGATCCGCCAGCCTCGGCCTCCCAAAGTGCTGGGCTTACAGGTGTGAGTCACTGCGCTAGGCCAAGAGGAAATTATTCTTATAGTAAAAGAGAGTCTATGTATGTTTTTGGAATTGCTGAATTCCAAAGAGTTGCACAAAAATGGTATCAGGCAGTAACTGTGGCTGTCCAAGGTATTTTTAGTATCAGGTGCTTTCCTAACCTGTGACAAGGAGTTCATCCTACTCTACTCTAGCTGCCACTTAAGGCTTAAACCTAATAGCTGAGTCTGCTGGGAATGTCTTGTACCTGAGTATCTGTGATGCTCATCACAGTCTTGGTGTAAGAGCTGACAGAACGTGACTTTGGCAGGAAAACCATGCACACCTCTTTTCCTGGTTTTGGAATTCTTAGCCTGTGTTGTTTTTTATGGCTGTTTGCAAGGGTAAAGAGTACTGTAAGAGCTTTGATCATCTTAGTAAGGGTCATAGGTGTCATCTGTTTAAGCAGATGTTTTCTTTATCAGGGATAAGGGAACTATTACTTGATAAATGTTTCTGCCCTTTGGAGAGAGCAGCATTACAGATTTGGAAACCAATACATTTGAGTAGGCTAAAAAGTCAGTGATTCAAAGTATGACTCTGTAAACCTGGTCAAGTTCCTTAAACCTTAGTCTCCTCATCTTTTAAGTGTGTACAATGTCCATCACATTGGATTGTTTTAGGAATTAACTAAGTTAGGATCATGTTGCTTGTTAGTGTCTAGCAAAATTTTAAGCACGCAATGACTGTTAGCTATGACATCTGAAGGGATAATCATTAAAGGCTTGGTTGACTTTTAGGCTCCCTTAAGGAACAGTGGATATACTGAGTAACATTTGACAGATGCTAGGAATGAGTTATATTCTTTTTTCTGTTGAATTTCAGATGTACTGGTGAAGAATATTTGACAAAGCAGGGCATCGATCTCTCACCCTGGGGCTTGTGGAAGAATCACGTGGCCTTGGCTTGTATGATTGTTATTTTCCTCACAATTGCCTACCTGAAATTGTTATTTCTTAAAAAATATTCTTAAATTTCCCCTTAATTCAGTATGATTTATCCTCACATAAGAAAGAAGCACCTTGATTGAAGTATTCAATCAAGTTTTTTTGTTGTTTTCTGTTCCCTTGCTGTCACACTGTTGCGCAATAGCAGTTGTTTTAAAGAGATACATTTTTAGAAATCACAACAAATGGAATTAAACATGAAAGAATCCAAGATATCATGTATCGCATATTAGTTCATCTCCTCAGACAGTAACCATGGGCAAGAAATCTAGTCTAACTTATTAACCTAAAAAAGGAGAATTGAATTCTGGAAACTCCTGTCTCTGGCGTTTGTTTCCTCATCTTTAAAATGAATAGGTAGGTTAGTAGCCTTTCAGTCTTAATACTTTATGATGCTGTGATTTGCCATTATTTAATAAATGACAAATGTATTAATGCTATACTGGAAATGTAAAATTGAAAATATGTTGGAAAAAAGAGTCTGTCTTATAGGGTAAAAAAACCACTGTGATAGAAAAATCTTTTTGATAAGCACATTAAAGTTAATAGAACTTACTGATATTTCTCTCTAGTGGTGTAATATCTCAGGAATCTTGGCTGAGGGTTTTGAACTGTAGGTAGAGTAGAGGTCCATTAATAGAATTCTTGCACTATTTCTGGAACATTCTAGCTGTGGAAGGTCACGTAACCTTGGGGTAGTTCAGTGGTTTATGATCCAGGTGTGTGTCAGAATCTTCTGAGGAACTTTGCTAAAATACAAAAGTCTGGCCTCTGCCTATCCGCAGTGCATAAGTATCTCCAGATCTACCTTCATAAAGGAATCTGACCACTCCTGGATTTGGTAATTTCTAAGATCTTTTCCAGCTCTGGAAATTTTACTTAGGATTTAATAACTATTACATCTGTCCCTGCGTAGGTTTTCTTTCCTACTTATATACCTTATTTCTGTATGTCCTTTTCATTCTAACCTTCATCAGTAATAGGGAAATATTTTAATCTTTTTTTAGTTGAAGGGTAATGTACCAAAAAATATAGTTCAGTGAATTATGTGCAACCACCCATGCAGGTCAGGAAATAGAAGATTATAGCACACAAAAGCCCACTCAGCCACTCTCCCAGTCACTACTTCCTTTCTTACCCCTGCGTTATTTTTGAAATGACACTTGCTGTATTCCCCTGTGTTGCTGTTATGAGAACACTGCTACAGCCAAGTGTTATGTTTCTGTGTGCATAGGTTGATACTTAATTCTCTCCCCACTTTTTAATAAATTAAAAGAATTTGGAAATAATTTTGTTGCAAAGATAGTGAGGAAATTTCCTGTCTACTCTTTGCCCAGCTTCCCTTAATGTTAACATTTTATATAGCAAGGTGCATTTGTCAAAGCTAAGAAATTAACATTGGTACAATCACTGTTAATTAAACTGCACACAATATTCAGATTTCACCACTTTTCCACTAATATTCTTTCATTGTTCTAGGATTCAATTCAGGAGACCACATTGCATGTAGCCCTCTTTTTTAAAAATAAATACTTTTCAATACTTACAGGAATTAAGTGAGCTGGGGCATCACTGGTGTGTAGATGCCCTGAGACTGGTCATCTTGGAATTCATTTAGTTTGTCCGTGGGTGCCCTGACATTCTGTCACAACATCAATTTGGGAACATGGCATTATATTTTTATCTTTGAACTTTTTTCTTTTTGGATGATATTTGATTTAACGCATCATCTTGGAACACATTATCTTTTTTCTTGGTTATGTGATCATGAAGATTACTCAGTTTTTCCTGTTCTTGGTATAATTCCTGCTTTTCACATACCTGTGCCTTACAGTTCTCTGTATATACCCTTCCCTTATTACACAGAGAGAAATATCTATCTATACTTTTTACACAAAATATACTTCAGAAGAAACAAAACAGCCAAAATTATTAACAACTACTTTTTAAATAAATGAGAATTTAATTATATCCTGTTTTATGTATCCTCTTTTTATATTAAAATTGCTTTTATATACTTTTGTTGTGGTAAGAACCACATAACATAAAATTTATCATCTTAACCATTTTAAAATTAAGGAACTTTTAAAAAAGTGTGGTTTATTTTCTTATAAAATAGAAATTTATTTAAGGATATAGATATCCATATATTATATACACCTTGTATATTATATGTATTCTCTATTTTATATCCTATATATCAGGATATATATATTATATAGGATATATATCCTATATATAATTCATATCTTATATATTATATATGGGTATATATATCCTTAAGTAAATTTCTACATTATAAGAAAACAAACCACACTTTAAAAAACGTTCCTTAATTTTAAAATGGTTAAGATGGTAAATTTTATGTGCTCATTTTATGTTTTTTATATATATATATATTCTTTTGATTTTATTTTCCTGGATGTCAGAATTAATCTATAATGGAGACGAATTAATGTGGTTTAACATAAAATAAACCTCAGTTAAATGAATATAAGTTGCTATTTGTACTGTTTATACTATAAATGTATACTATCTGTATTGCTTTGCATTCCTTAATGGCAATATATAGTGTTTTATGATACCTCACTGTCCTGTGTCTAAAGAACTTTTCTTTTGGATGTAGCAGTAGGATTATAAAAGGTCATTGGCTTGACAACACCTGCAAGTCATTACAGTATTTTAAAAACTTTTTTGATTGGTTTTCACAGTAAAAAAAAAAAAAAAAAAACTTTCTATTACAGCCCATTTTTTTGCACATACAGAAAAATATAATCCAAACAAGTTTCTTGTGGTGCATTCTGAAAGATATTTTTAAAATAAGATTTGAGTAAATCTATCTTCTAGGTCTATCAATATAATGAAGCAAATATGCAATCAAGAAATACATGTTTTCAAAGTTATATAATTATATCCATCTCTTTAATTATTTTTAGTGTCCTGGTTTGATAATTTATGTGCTTATGCTGGGATTATTGCTCTCCCTACCTCTCATGGATATCAAAAGGACTAAGTAATTCTTAATACTTTTTTTTCATTTCATGTTCTTTGTTTTCATAGAACCTTACATTCCCCAAATTCCTTTATGCATCTGTAAAATGAGAGTTTCTTCTACCTTTAAAGTTCTGTGAATGCATGGATATTTACATTGTTTTTTTTTTCAACTAGCTTCAAGAAGAACAGCCAATTTGACTTTTTCAGTGTCCACTAAATTTCTCAGTGCAACCCTATAATTTATTTATTTTGATTTTTTTCAAAAATTTGAATAATCTGTCATGCAGATTCAGACTAAAGTTGCTAAGATCAAAGAAGGGAGGATGGTCTTTTGTTTAAAAAGGCATCTTTCCATCTGTGTTTCTGGTTGGTCTTGTGTATTTTGTTTTAAAGACTTTGTTTTGGTTGGTGGAGGCAGAACGGAGGGGAGTTCATTATTCCTGTAAACCAGGCGTTGACAAACTTTGAGAGGGGCCTGATACTTTGTCTCTCGGGGTCTTTTTTTTTTTTTTTTTTTTTTTTTTTTTTTTGCTATTTGCCTCTTTTAAAAAACATAACTTTAGAAAAAAATTAAAAACCATTTTCAGCAATGTAAAACCTCTACTTAGCTGGAGGGCTGTACATCACAGCCAGTGAACACCAGATCTGGCCCAGAGGCCGTCGTTTGCAGAGATGCCTGCTGTAGACAGTTGTTGTTCCTGCTTCATGTGAGGCTGTGTTAATATGCTGATAAACCAAAGTTCGAAGAAATTTGTTGTAATTTTAAATTTCAAGATATTATATTGAAATCCTGTTTCTTCTTAATAGAACAAACACAGTGCTTCTTGATACTTCATTCTCTCCCCCACCTTTCTGCCCTGCTTTGACAAAAGGCGAAAAGTGGGTTTCTGCATCCGCCATTAGTTTTACACTCAGTCCTGTGTGGTGGCAGTTAGTATGGTAAGAGGGGTAAGAGAGGCTGGTATCAGTTGAGATGGAGCCTTCTGGCCTCGGGGCATGTGGGAGAGCGTGTGTTTTGTTTTGTTTTGTTTTTTTTCTCATGTTCAGGAATTGTTTGTTTTTGAGATGGAGTCTCATTCTGTCTCAGGCTGGAGTGCAGTGGTGCGATCTTGGCTTACCGCAATCTCTGCCACCCGGGTTCAGGTGATTCCCCTGCCTCAGCCTCCTGAGTAGCCGGGACTACAGGTGTGTGCCACCACACCTGGCTAAATTTTGTATTTTTAGTAAAGACGAGGTTACACCACGTTGGCCAGACTGGTCTTGAACTCCTGGCCTCAAGTGATCCACCCGCCTCAGCCTCCCAAAGTGCTGGGATTACAGGTGTCAGACCACTCTTGGCCTGGAAAATTTGTTTTTAGTGCATCCAAAGGGGTAGCTATTCTCTGAGTAATGAATTCATACCAGTCATCCGACCAAAGATCTGTAACCCAGAGCACCAAATCACTCATTTAAACAGTACAGTTTTAATGTGGACATTATGTTGTTACGTTATTCTCTCAGGTGTGAAACTGAGGTCAGAGGGTTCCTTGGTAAACACAGATTTGGGATTTAAGACCAATGCAACAATGTCTACTACATCCATAGGGATTTGTGTGTCAAGCTAACCTGAATAGTTGCTCCAGCTAACCTTCACCAAGACAATGCAGGAGGTAGCAGTGTCCCCACCCCACCCTCACAGGCTTGTGTTTATCTTCTGTGGACTAAAGATCCCGGCCTTGAACCGCACCAGACATAGCTACCATCTGGCTTGCAGCCTGTTTGTATACATATTTTAAATAAATGGTTAACTTGCATGTTGACTTGTAGACTACTTTTTTCCCTCCACTTAGCAATATGAACATAATGATACTCTAAATCAAAGTAAGTCTTATTTTCTAAACTATAAAACTTCAAATTTCTTTCTTTCTTTCTTTTTTTAAGACAGGGTCTCAGTCTGTTCTTTAGGCTGGAGTGCAGTGGCTCAATCACAGCTCACTGCAGCTTCGATCTCCCAGGCCCCAGTGATCCTCCCGCCTCAGCCTCCCGAGTAGCTGGGACTATAGGTGCACGCCACCACACCTGGCTAATTTTTTTGTAGAGATAAGGTCTCACTTGGTTGCCCAGGCTGGCACATTTCTTTGTGATTACATAGGGTGGAATTTCCTAAGCTTCCCTGATAAGAATCAGTGGTCATCTAGAATGCTTATAATAGGAAGGAAAGTATTACCTTTTTTCTCCCT